TAGAAGTTGTACACGGCTTGGGAGTTGGAAGCCGACGTACTACGTCATCGACTTTGAAGTTCTGTCTCTCAGAACTTGTTGTTTGGCGCAATTTTCTTGATGAATCTTCCTATTTATCCTTCCTCGTCAAATTCAATAACTTTTGCAACATCTAAACTATAGCAAGTTTTGTTTTTCCCCATTACTTTGACAATTACATGATCATGAAGGGACAACTTTGAAGACTCACTGATGTCTTGAGCTAGGTATGCTGGTTCTTCATCAAATTCTTTGTCTTTGTCACTTTCTTCCAGTGAGAAGAGTGACTGATGTGGATCATCTTCATCTCTGGTATTTTTTTTCTTTTTTTTTTGGGTTTTCAGGGCCACCTTTATTTGCACCACTGGTTAAAAAAAATGTTTCTATTTACCCTGGTTTTGCAAAATCATGACATAACCTAAAATAAAAATTAAGTACAAAAATATAGTTTATTCTAAGGCTAATCTATTAACACACTTGTTTTTAAGATACCTAAGACAATATAAAAAATGGTTATTAACATAAATACATGTAATAGGTTCATACTTAGAGAGAAAGTTTTGAAGAGAATGTTTTTCGCACAAATTTTCAAATGACGTTTCGCATTATCCAACATCCAAAGTAGTGATACCAATATGCTGAAATAATTTTTCCCAGGTAGATAGGATATGGTTATAATGGGGGAAAATAATTCCCTTATATAAAGTCAATGTATAACAAAGTTATAAAAATGTGAATCATTCATTGAAGTTTTGTTTCTATTCACCCTGTTGTTTCTATTCACCCTGTTGTTTCTATTCACCCCATTTTACGGTAGTAATTTTGAGCTTAACAATTTTTATTAAATGCATGAAGGACTCTGTTAGCTGAATTTAACCTGCTTATTATTACGAATGCTTCATTCTGTTAATAGTACTCCTTAACTGAAAGCTATTTACTGCTGTTTGAAAAGAGTGATTCTCTATATGCAAGATATCATCTTCATCATCATCTGCTTCATAGACATCCCATTTTACGCACTTCATAAAAAATAAAAAATATATATACTATGGATATTTTATTTAATTTAACATTTGAGTATAGTAAAATCCCCACAAACAACAACAAACAACAACACAACAGTGCTTACAAACAGTGCTTATGGTTGCTTTGAAAAATGCTTATAGTCTCGAGTTATACTTTTTTATTGGTAATAAACAATTTCTATGAACCTCTCCATTTGAGACAGATATAATGTCTTTCTAACTGTAGATAATTAAAACCTCAACATATTTATCATAATTTTAGAATGTATGATGAAAATAAATATGTAAAATTAAAATATTTTTTCATAGACATTCTGTGTTTTTTACCACCTTATGAGTTAAAACAATACAAAAATAAAACTATTTCTTGAAAGTTGTATACATAACAGCTGAAAGAGTTGGACATAGCAACAGCTGTCTCATGGCATGGTCCATTCTGTTGATTGTGCAGTATCTTATCTGAAGTTACGTAACAGCTACAGCTTCAGCTTCTAGAGCTAGTTCTATCAGCACTTAGCACTCAGCACATCATGGGAGAGAAGGTTATTGATACCAAACTGCCTGACGAGGGTGTAACCGGTAAGTTTAATCAGTATAAGTATAGAAATTTAAGTCAGTCATTTTGCACATAATAAATCTTTATCATTAAAATTGAGCACTTTCATTGGCAGTTAATCTCTAGGATTTGTTTGAATAAGGTTATGATGACAGTTTGATATATTTGTCTCATGTAGGAATGTTTCCATTTACCAGATTGAAGTTTCACTCAAATATATCTGTAAAGTCTCAGATTTACCCCTATTTAAATAACAAGGTTTAGTGAGCATTATTGAGTAGGTTTACCTTTCCAAGTTCTTGAAGAAAGTAGATTATAATGACACTCGATAGACATTTCGCTCCAATGTTAACCTAATCTCCAATGCTACTCACAAACAGTAGCACCCAATAATGTATAATCTTCAGAAGTACAGTTTATTTACAACATATTTATTTATACAGTATTACACTAAACTATGCACTATTTACATTTGGTCGGACATTGTACACACGTAGGTTCCCTGCGTGCAGACCGGGGATGTAATATAAAACAATATGTTGTAAATAAGCTGTGCTCCTGAAGATGCCACTCATTGGAGTGAAATGTGCATCGAGCGTCATTAGTCTACTTTCCTCAAGAACCTTGCAAACATAAGGTAAACCTACTCAATAATTTATTGTTTTTGAAACTGGGAATACACTACTCAAATTTAATGAGCACTTAGGATTGCTGCTACTGGGCAACTTATATTGTCTTTTTTTAGTGAAATTTTAATAGCATTGGTATGAAATAAATAAAATCGTCAAATTTTATCAAAATATATCCATAAACAAGCTAACTACAACTCTTTGTTTGAAGTTCATTGTTGGTGATGGTGAGTTAATGTTGTTCAAAGGTTTATTGCGGACATTTTCCATCACGAAAGTAAAAAAAAAAAAAAAAACACAAATCAAACAAACATAATTCTTGGCTCTTAATTTACTATTGTACAGTTCTCAGCCACACATCCATTACCTACAATTTTTTACAGACTAAATGAATTACTTAAAAATAAATTAATAAATAATGAAACATTTATAGAGATTATTTTTATTCACTGGAGCATAGCTAGCTAGGGCATTAATGGCATTAATCACCAACAATGAACTTCAAACAAAGAGTTGTAGTTAGCTTGTTTATGGATATATTTTTGTTGTATTTTTTTTTTTTTTACTTTCGTGATGGAAAATGTCCGCAATAAACCTTTGAACAACATTAACTACAACTGTTTATTTATTCTCCATAACAATGACATTGACATTTTAAATTTACAAGTGTTTGGAGTTTTCTCTGTAATCGTTAAGCCTACAAAATACTTCAACATACTAAATTATTTGGTTTTTCAAGCTCTATGGGTTTTAATAAAATGCCATTTTCAATATGTATGAGTAGCTAATTGCTGCATTTACTTACTTTTGCCGCACTCATTTTTTTACCGCACTCCAGCATTCCAACCACACTACACAAAACAGTGTACTTTTATTAGGCACGTAATACAGGTACGCTAGAAAAAAATTGGCAACACTTAAAGATACTAGCGCTTTTTATTTCATTTAGAGCTTGGATTTAACCTAACCTAAAAACGTGTTGTATAGTGTTTTAAAGAATAATTATTTAAATGCTTTATAGTAGGTAACTGTAGGAAAAATATAATGTGTGCGGGTGCAAAGTGCGACACACTTTGCACACTAGTTTCACAAATAAGTGTGGTTACACCACATACATTGAGTTGTTTCGTGCCCCGAAATAGGAGACAAAACTTTTAAACATAAAAAATATTTGTTTACCATTAAAAGTAGTTTAAGACAAACAATTTAGAATATTATTAGTCCTACACTTATTGGTTACCAAGACATTATAAGGGCTAAAATTAAATAAATTACCTTTTTAGTTGTTGCCTGTGTTCTTACACAAACATCTTACTCAAAAACACAGAAAACTTAATATAATTAAAGATCTTGAAACTGGAATAGCAAAAAGTATATAAAAACGTAAAGCAATTTGTTGTGTCCACTGTTATTCATACTGAAAATATATTAATTGGTGGAGATTGCTTGACTATGGATTATTGTTTCATGTAATATGGTAAATTTTGTTACCTATTTTATTATTCTTTCATAACATTTTCTGATAATTTATCAAACAAAAAATATGTATGTGCCTCGTAGCTGCAACCCTAGGTATTGAGACAATATACTTGCCATAGAATAAATTGTGTTTATTTATTATATGATAATCCTCTGGGTACATATGAATCAAATTATAAATTTCTATTATCATCTGTTTGAATGAACACTTTATTAAACAATACTTTCTCCATACACTATGGTATAGGGGGAGAAAGTAAAAACTGGAAATCTGCTGGTTTTTTCTGTGACAATGTTTTTTTTTAGATTATTTTCAGGAAATATTAGAGAATAGTGTTAACCAATATCTCTGAACATAAGATTATTATAATCAAAATACTAAAATAACAGCAGCCTTCAATATAATTATTTAAAAATATAAATTCGATTTATCCAAAAAATTTATACTTTCAAAACAATCTAAGAACCATACTTACGTCACAATATGCAAACAAATCTAATTTTAATTACTCAATACTCATACCTCATTTTTTAGGAATCACTCAGGCTATTTACCCAGACTAGCCTACATTATTTACCATATCCATCCATACTAACAACTTGATCCATTCTAACAAAAAATTATGAACAATAATAATTGTAATGTGTTGAATTTTATACGTTACTGTATATGTTATTTTCTAAATTATTTTCACATTAAAATTTATTATTCGTCTTAATTTAATCATGTTATTCGGTTATAAATTGAGTTAATTATTGTACACATTACACAATAATTTATATTTGAATTGTAGAGCTTTTTGAGTTTTATAGAGTTTGATCAGTATATGTGTCATAGGTTATTTAGATTATATAATTGTTTTCCCATCAAATCCATTAATGCCCTAGCTAGCTATGCTCCAGTGAATAAAAATAATCTCTATAAATGTTTCATTATTTATTAATTTATTTTTAAGTAATTCATTTAGTCTGTAAAAAATTGTAGGTAATGGATGTGTGGCTGAGAACTGTACAATAGTAAATTAAGAGCCAAGAATTATGTTTGTTTGATTTTTGTTAAACCACAAGACATTTGTTAAATTTACTGAAATACATGGATAATTTGCATAATTCAATAAAAGATAATATTCATAGTATAGCAAAAATTGCTCTTCATTATTTTACTTTAAATATAAAGTGTGTTGGCAATCATGATTAGAGAACGGAGTAGAGTCAGCTGTTTGGAGCGGGATGAAAAGCCGGCTGTATAATAGTATCGACATCTGATTCAATACCTTCTGTCTGTTAGCGGCCTGGCCGGTGTACATTGAACTGAAGAGTGCAGACGCTGTACAAGGGCCGATAAATATATCTCATATAAATCTTGTTAGGCATACCACGTGGAACCTACGTTGCGGAAAACCAACCATAGAGTTTTTTTACATAATATATATATTTTTCAATATCTTAAAACTTTCCAAACATATATTTTTGTTGTAAATTGTATATTGATATGGCCGATTACTTAATTTGTGCTGGAGCTGGTTATGTACCTGAAGATGGTCTTACAGGGGCACAGCTGTTTTCCAATGGGGATGGACTTACATACAAGTAAGTATTATTTACTAACAATATTATAAGTAAACTATAAATGATCAATTTCGAGTTTTGAGTAAGGCTTAGATGGGTCATTGTGTTTTTAGGTTAGTGAGGTTAGGATTGAATGAAGCCTACTTCACAAGGTGATTTTGTTTGTTTTCTTTGACTATCTTGTATAGTAAGTTATGTGTTTTTCAAAATCGAAGCCACATAAAATGTCATATAGTGGCTATTCAATCTAAAATGGGTTTTACTATTATGAGCTGCCTTGGCTGTAAAATATTTTCCTTTAGTTATTGCAAACACAACATAACAATAAAGCTCTTTCAGCTTGATGTTAGTTGTATGTTACCTAGCATGAATTGATTTTAAATGAATAAGATGTTCGTGGTAAATATAATGTATCGTGGTTAGTTATGTAACATCAGTCGTTGAGGATTAACTATGAACAAATTTTATGTTTGTAGGTTTATATAAGATAAGCTTAGAATGTAAAATCTTGTATTTACAACATACTTTTTGTTTGGTAAGACTACTAATTGTATTTTTGTTCAGTCTGCGTACAGATTGTTTAATATTTTCAGTTAATATCCCATCACTAAACTTACAGGTACATCAAATCATATAATATAATCAATAGCCTAGCTGTTCAAAACTGAATGCTGAATGAATCTTTTAGCTGGAATTACAAATCTTGGTAGGCAACACTGTCATTCATTGCGATTATTAACCACATCGTCACTTTATAACTACCTATAGCACTTTCATTAAAACTACGTTAATCAGCATTGTTTACCTTACTGATTTTGTAGTGCCTACTTACATGTAACTTAAGTAATCACCAACGTAGTCATATGAAAGTGTGCTTGTTTAGAAGTACCGGTAGGTGAATTATGTAATGCTCATGGTTAAGCTGTTTAGATAGAGGAAAACGTAAATGAATTTTCTTTTTTATTCCTGGTTTTAAAGTTAGTTGAAAATAAAACATTAATGTTTTTAAATACCGTAGGCCTTAAGCACAAACATAAGAAACTTCTTACCTGGTATCGTGAATATTGTACAGTGATTATCTGAACGAATTTCAAACGAGCTCAGGTAAATCAGCTGTTCATGTTCGTATCCTCATGGGATGGGGAATTTAGGCTATATTTTCAGTCGAAATTGTCTATTATTTGCTTAATAGGCGTACAGTAGGCCTATACTTGATAGGTTTAAAACAGCGCACCACTAAATAGTCTGTCGCTCGTGATTGTGTGGACAGTAGAGCCGTGGTGCTACATCAAAAGAATTGGTCAGATATCTGTGGGACTTTTAATACCACCAGATTTTTGTACAGTTCAGACATTGGTTAACATAAGGAGCAGAAAGTGAATCTTGTCAGATCTATTAATTTGTATAGTTTGAGGTATCAAGGTACTAAACTTAACTTTACTTGAAATTTAAGAACAAAATCTTCCATATGTAGGCCTATTATCGGATAACAATGTAATGGACGAATAATTCAATAGTTCAAGATGTTACTATTACAAAAGCAAACAATTTTGCAACACAATTCAGGCAAACACTTATTTTATCACTTGTGACTCTACATTGTGCTTATTTTCTAGGGTTTCATAATCAATAGCTGTGAAACGTAGGCATGATTTAAAATTAGAAGCATTTAATCCATGTTTGGTTTTGATAAGTATTAACCAACAGTGGATTTTCAGAATGTCATTATAAACGTGTTTGTATATATTTTTACCATAACAAAATTAAAATTAGAGTTTAAGTACACTTACCTTTATGCTGTTTTTACTTATGGGAATTGAATGACACTAAGAACATAAAAAAAATTGTTTAATTTATTTTACTTTAGCAGTTATTTGTTTTCTCATTTACTAAAGCTATCATTAATTGATTTATCCATGAACTGCTTGTTATCTTTTCTGTTTTCTAATCTTGCAGTGTCAAAAATATATTTTGACCTAATGTTTTAACATCAAAATAAAGTTTGAGCGAATTTGTTTGAGGGATATAGTTTCCTGAAGTTATTAAATAGATACTTGCTTTTTTATTTGCAAAGTATGTTTGCTAACCATTCTAAATCTCTGTCATCGTCTGCCAAAAATATAAATATTATAATTCCAAGCTCCCTTGAATGTGATCCAGTTCTAATAATTAGAGTTGGCGTATAAGTTCAAATACAAATTCTTATTAATCATTGTACCGATAAACATAAAGTAGGCTACAACAAATAAACTAAATATTTTCTGGGACCTCTCACCACCGTTTACTTTTTTATAAGCAATTAGGGCCTAAATATTTTTGAGAAATCTAGACAGCAATGCTTAAAGGGAAAATTTTAATTATCATGCTTTTATTAAATAAGAGCAGTAAGAAGGGTTTAAAGATTGGAATTGGTTACATAACAGGTTTATATAAGCTGGCCCTTATATAACAAAGGATCCCGTTCTATCGTGTCCTTCACATTCTGATCCTTGGCCTTGACCTTGGGATCAGGTCATTTGCCTACAATGAATCTAGGATCATCCTGATCCTGCTAAAAATAGACTGATAATTTTTTACTTATTTTTTCACAAAGATTAAAGAGTTTTAGTTTGTCGTCTAATCTAGTTTAAAGAACGATTTGTTATGTAAATCTTTTAATAGCTGATTTCAGGCCAATAATTGATATGATATGACTTTTTTATCTTTGTAAATTGGGCAGTAAAAACAATCATTAGTTTCCTTAACAGATTTTGAGGTTTGGTTGGAAATAGAAATTTTGATTGCATAATAAATTTTACAGTTCACATTGTTATACTTGATAATTAAATATTTATTTTAACAGTATTCCAATACTTAATTTATATCCTTTTATTTATGATATAATTGCGTTTATGTTCACAGTGACTTCATTCTACTGCCAGGTTTCATTGATTTTACTGCAGATGAAGTTGTAAGTACTGATTTATATTTTTGTATGCATTTTAAGGGTTGAAGATTTAAAGCTATTAAACACAGTTATTAAAGATATAAGTTAAATTCTTTTTATCAGTAAATATGAAGTGTTTGGCAATGTTGTGCGAGTAAGCTATGCATTCTGGTAAACAATAACTTGTTATGCTGACCTACAGAAAACTCTTGTTTTAAGTAGGTCAGTGTACTTGATCTGGGGTTAGTGTGAGGGATGAGGGCATTTTGGAGAAGTTTGTGCTAAGACTCCAGGCCCCCTTTAGTTTTGGGACTGGCCAAGGCTTAAGTGCTAAACTAGAGATTAAAGTTCTCTTCCGAAAAAGGGTTATATACAAATATTTTTTAAAACTTGACAGTGTAATCTGATTATTGGTTTGATAGCTATTTTTTTAATATTGTCCATATTTTGGGCTGTGAATAAATTTTTTGTTGAGTTTCCAGTTTGATTCCTGTGCTAAGTTTCCAAAGTAACTGAGGGTAAACTGCAAGGAAGCCATGAGGTTTGGCTTCTTTTAAAATCCATAATTATGGGTTATATTTGCTCAGAATCACAACAAAATTGATATATGAATAAAAACATTATAATGTTTGAAGTAAGTTTTCAAGGTGAAACTTGACCCAGCAATCATTGATTGTTTGACTTTCAATTAGTGACCTTACTGAAAATTGTTATCTAGTTGTAATGTTTGCTGTATTATATTTTAAGTAAAAAAATACAATGTAATTATATGTATATAATTTATGGGAAATAAAATATTATTTCATTTCATTTCATTTCAAACCAGCTTGACTTTGGTCAGTAACAAAGCTTCATATAGCTCATTCTGCATACCTCTTATTTCTTATTTACCTACTAATTCAAACCATAGGCCTACATATCATGGTTTTTTTGTCGTAGTGTTATTTAAGTATGTAAACAAAACCAGTATCAATTCATTCATCTTATACTGTCAAACTATATTACTTGAAAAAAAATGAATTTCCTTCAGATCTTTAATTTAGCCTACTGATTTCAGGACTTGACATCAGCCCTGACAAAGAAGATTACTTTGCAGGCTCCTTTGGTCTCTTCCCCCATGGACACTGTGACAGAGTCAGAAATGGCAATCGCCATGGCGGTAGGTATCTTAAACATTATACAGTTTAAAATAGTTTACAGGATATAGTATAATAAATTGTAATGGTAATGTAAACATTTTTATCAACCACTTACTCTATTATAGTATACATACAATTAATTATGTTAGCAGGTCTAACAGAATATGTAAACTTTTAATGAACCAAACTACAGAAAATTTCTTGATTACAGTAGACTCCCTCTTATCCGGGCTCCTCAGGACTGAAGCCAGTCCGGATAACGGGTTTTCCGGTTAAGAAGACGTCCCCAAAAAATTATTAAAATGTCCGGACCGTTTGCGGTGATATTCGACACTAATTTAGGAGAGCATTGTATTTAGACATGTGCTCACTGGTCTCAAATCTTTCCCACGAGAACAGTCGTTACAGTACCGCCCACTTCCTGCCGATCTAGTTTGGTTAAACCAATGTGCTGATAAAAATTGTCCGGTTAAAGAGATGTCATTTCCGTCGAGTGTAATCCGGTTAAACCGATGTCCGGTGAAAAGGTGTCCGGATAAGAGGGAGTCTACTGTATATTTGACTGTGAGACCAAAAATTAAAAATGTTCCAGGTTTACCTAAATTAATTTGCAAAATTTTAGTCTTTATTCGCTACCCCCTCTCCCATTACTCACAAATTAAATCCATTTTTCAGTGGAGAGTGTTATTGAAGGGAAGGTTTTGGAGACAACAAGAAATTGGGAATAATTAACTACAGAAGTCAAAAACAAATATAAGTAAAAATTAACACATATGAACACCAATTATAGTAAAAAAAAAAACAAAAAAACAATTAATTCTTAATCAAATCTAGGAATGATAACAATTTATTAATTAAACTATTAGTTTTGTTTTAAAAGAAAAAAAATTAAATAAAGAAATTAAATTATTTGAGAAGATACAAATTATAAACCTATTCAACCTCCTATTTGGTCTATCTTTAAGCAGATTTCATTAACTTCCAAAGTAGCGTAATATTAAACCGGATATAAAATCTAGCCTATTCTGTTTGTATTGTTCCAGCTGTGTGGAGGCATTGGAATCATTCACCATAACTGCACGCCTGAATACCAAGCCAACGAAGTCGCCAAAGTTAAGAAATACAAACACGGGTTTATCCGTAACCCTATTGTCTTGTCACCTGAACATTTTGTAAGTTATGTATGCTTATGGTAATTTAAGTTGTGCAAAAATTTGCTCTGTAATCGTTTTGATACATAAACAAAATATTGATTAATGGTATTTAGCCGTGGTACAGTAATTAGTGATGTATCAATAAGCTGTGTATACCATCGCACATTTTTTTACAGTATGTTGAGCTCAGTTTATGGATAAATTTCTCACCTCTGATGATTAATACAATGATAAAAAAATTGATTTGATGAAAGAGTGTTGTGTGATTCCAGTAGCGTAAGGTAAAATTATTTGTGTATTTCAACCAATAGTTATCAACCAGGAAAGTATACATGGAGTGTTTTGTTTATAAGTAGGTTTTACTGTTTACAGTATCAGTAAGTAGAGTGTTGGTGAGGGTTGTGTTGTGATAAACAGTGTACAGCATTCTTGGCCTCAGAAAAGCACTTAGCTAGTTTCTAAATAGCTTTGATGATGTTGGCCTATCCATGACAAAGTTTTGTTGACGTCCCTTTAAGCTATAACTTTCAGTTATATAATCAACCGATAATATCTTATATTCACAAGAGTATTAATACTTCTGGTTATTTTTGGAAATATATTTTTGTTGTAACAAAAGTGCACTTGTCTTTGATTACTATAGTAAGTGTATAGTTAATTCTAGGAAGTAAAATTTGTAACTGCATTGTGTACAAAATTTAAAATTATTAATGCACTGTTACAACCTAGACTAAATGTTGCCCTTCAAGCATCATAAGAATTTGGGAAACACAAAACCTGAGTCATTTTCCTTGTCTTTTTAGGTGGCAGATGTATTTCGGCTAAAAAAAGAGCATGGTTTCTGCGGTTTTCCAGTCACAGAAAACGGTAAAATCGGTGGAAAACTGGTCGGAATTATTACATCCAGAGATATTGATTTCCGTGAAGATGCCCAAAGTCAAAGACTAAAATTAGAGACTGTAAGTTTATTTTTCAAGTATTTTACACATAATATTCTTTTCTTGAAGATATATAGATATATTTTTTATGCATGAATATATCAAGCAATCCTCTGAAACTGTGTTCAAAGTTTTGTACACAGTTTAGTAGCGTGATTTTTTTTATCTCAGCTTGTAATTTTTTAAACTAATATAAGAACAAGTTTTTTATTTTATACAACTTGCTATAGTAATACCAGAAACAAAAGAACCCTGGGCCGTTTCGAGCCGCGCAGGTTTGAATGGTACATTTTATAAGATGTACCATTCAATGTATGGTACATCTTATACTTAAGACTGAACCTATCGGCGCGAACCACGTGATCTTTTCGTTTCTGCGCAGGTTGTTTTGTTCTTGGTATGTCTATAAAAGTAACCAATGATCACTGCACGCACAGTACGCATTACTTAATAACTGCTTTTTAAATGTAATTAGATGTGAAACTTCCATAGTGTAGCATATTCTCCAACACTAAACAAGTATACATGTGTGTTTTGTGTTTTTTTCTGTATCAGTTCAAGCACAAAGAATTAAGATACAGAGGATACAAGCTTATAACTACCTATGTGCTTTTAGCTCTGGTATGTTTTTGTTGGGGCGGAAATGTACTTGTACCGAGCAAGGAAGAGCCCAAACGGCAATGGCCACATAGCAATGTTGTACAGCAGTTGTAGCCCACAAAGTCTTCCTACAGTGCGAGTGCTGTAGTATGTGATGGCGAGGGGGAAAGGAGAGCAGAACGACAAATAGCATTTGCTCTAGACACCAGTGGATGGTGCTAGACACCACTCAAGTCATTGAATGTATCCTCTGTTTCTTACTTCTCTGTGGTTCAGAAAATTCAGTCATTCCAAGCTTGGCTGCAATCCAATATTCTGTTTTTTGCTGTATCTAAAACCAAGTATTGAATCAATGACATATTAGTTGAGATCAATTGCATTTGGCTCATTAAATTTAAATTTAAAAAAATTCTCCGAGACCCATTAGGAATGCCTTTAAATGTTTACATAAGGAGGTGAAATAAACCTTTCTTTTTATCACAACTAAACTACTTGTGCAGAAAATAATACCCTCATCTCTAAATTGAGCTTGAATTTAAATTCCATAATAAAGCTAGGGGTACTTTTTAAATTTACAGCATGTTTAGAAATACAAATTTTCTTTTTATTTGAGCCAGAAAATATATATGTATTTTCTGCCTATATTATTTTAGCAATAGTTATGATATTGTATCTTCTTCATCTTTTTTTCACATTCATTTAAAAGTTAATTATTTTTAACATTCTCCTTTTGACATTAGATCTTTTAATATTTCAAAGCATTAATTTGTAAGGTTTGTTTATGACTTAATTCAACTCATGTTCTTTGAGTTTGATGAATAAAGAATGATATTATTTTATTTAAACCTTGATTATGAAATCTATCCGGTAGTACATAAACATACAGTACAGTTATTGTGTTAACTTTTGATATCAGATCATCTATTTTAAACTGTTAGGGAAGTAAACAACAGAACTGTTATCTGTCTAGACATATCTAAAATGTGTTGTTATTGTTGTAATTTGATAACTATATCCAACGAGTTTCATATTTAAAATCAACCTTAAATTATTATCGATGAATGTTATTTATATTTATTTATCGTTAGTATTGAAAAAAATCATTTAAACTATATTAGTTAAACTTACTTAAATAGTTTAAACTATATAAGTAGTGAAAAAAACATAAAAGAAATAAATACTATTTTGATGAAGGCAGTCTTTTCTATGCAATCCCTTCTTAGTTCTTAATATAATCATCAAATTAAATGGATAGGTAACTGTTTTCCATATGTCATTGTTCTGTATTTTTCCCCACTTAACATAATAATTTTTTTAGGGATGGTCAAGTCTCGAAATTTCGGGAAATTTTAAATCTCGTTACACAAGACGAGATCTCGATTTGGCCGAGATTTTTATCGAGACGAGAATTAAAAAAAAAAAAAAAAAAAAAAAAAAAAAATTAAAAACGCCTGATACAGGAGCGTGTTGTAGTTGCGTTTCCATTGCGAAGACGTTCTTATTGAATTAATTCTTCAAATGTAAATATTATTTTAATAACATTTGAGAAGTTTTGTTAAGTGTTAGCAGTGTGAGGAATGTTTTATTACTATAAAAATAGTCAAAACAAGTAACTATTTTAACAAAATTAATATTTTATTTTATGATTTATTTTATTTTAGGATAAGTTGAACTCTATCCTAACTGATATCACTATGTTTCCTAATCGTAGGCATTTTTAATAAGTTAGGCGTGATTAATAAAAAAATGTTATGCTGATGTTTTTTAATAATAGATTGTAAATATTCTTGCCTATTATCATTTTTTTTTAATTTAGACAGTCATCTAACAATGTTACAAAATCAGGTAAAAATTCCGAACGTGCATTTCCCGTTGTGTATGAGAAGGGAAATCCCGTCTCGATCTCGTCTCGAAATTTTATGAGAAATAAAAAATCTCGTCTCGTCTCGTCTCAAACTAAAAATCCAATCTCGTCCATCCCTAAAATTTTTGGAATGATTCAACATTTAAGAAGTAAATAAAACATTATATTGTTCCTATGTTTATAGAAACTAAGCTAATTATATATTTTTATAATCAAGGAGTAGGCCTAGTCATACTAAAACAATTGAAAGTGCGTAGAAGAGATCTAAAACCGTTTTAAATATATGTTTCCAATTTGTGCTTAAAATTGTTTTCGTAAGAAATCATTTTGATGTTTTTGGCAACATTATAGTTCCAAAAGATAAAGTATACATATTTACTAAATGGATTTTTGTTACATGTTATAGAAAATATTAATATAACATGTGCAGGATGTCTAATTTATTGAATGATGTCCAATTTAATATCCCAATTATAACTGTAATAACATCAGGGACAAACTTAAAGTTTAGTTTGGTCAATTTGAAAACTTGAATTAAATTAACCTAAGTTTATTTTAAACTTTAAACCCACAAGTGTTAAAAATTAGCAATTTCATGTAAAAAAAAAAACAAAAAAAACACCAGGTCAACTGTAACTGATATTTAACTTTGTCTAGTCAAGCAATATTACTAGTTTGAGCAGAACTGCTCAACAAAACATACACTGAGGTCAAAACTTCTAATCAACCTTTTAAATCTGTGCTAGAGTAGATCTAATTATTTTGAATCCCTAGGTCATGACAAAATTGGACCAGTTAGTATACGCCACTTCTGATGTCACCTTGGAAGAAGCTAACAGCATTCTGGAGAAGTCCAAGAAAGGAAAACTTCCGATAGTTAATGACAAAGGAGAGTTGGTAGCCTTGATTGCTCGTACTGATCTGAAGAAGTCCAGAGATTACCCCCACGCCAGTAAAGACGAAAACAAACAGTTGCTCGTCGGGGCAGCCATCAGTACACGGAATGAGGAAAAGGAAAGACTAAAACTTCTAGCCGCCGCTGGAGTCGATGTTATTGTTTTGGTAAGAAGGTTTAACGTAGAAGTTTATCCAAAAAAATATATTTTGTCTACAGTTGACATACTAAGTGGAATTCTGTTCACTTGAATTAGTTTTGCAACAGCTGATTTCTCAAAATTTACTTAGCCCACTACTTGGCTTACACTTTTATCACCTCTGATAGTATTTTCTTTGCTTGGGTATTTTTGTGTTTTGGCTAAATTTGTATAAGTAGTAGCGAAAAATACTTGATGTATTAGCCAATACTAATGTAAATAGCTACATGTACCCTGGGTTTACTTGTGTAGGTATCTATCTGCAATTTAAGTAAAACAACTTTTGATTAACTGAACATCACTTCACAGGGTTAGGTAGATAAACAGTAAATTTATAAAGCATGCAATTAAACCCAACAGATCTTGAAAAAACACAGTTAATTCATAGTAAATAAAACATAAAAACCTGCCACTTAAAAGGATATTATCATGCCTTTCTTGTTTCTTTTTCCGTACACCCTACATCTGAACTAATAAAATAACACTCTGTCCACTGCAATTTTGTAAAATATTATAAAATTTAGATACTTTATCAATTTCTTAATATTTTCCAGGATTCTTCTCAAGGAAATTCAGTTTATCAAATAGATATGATAAGGTACATAAAAAAAGAATATCCTGAACTTCAAGTCATCGGTGGTAATGGTAAGCTACTTTATTTGGTTCTTTCAATTACATTCATAGTGTATTAATATTTTGCTTGGATTAATATTGAAAAGCACATTTGTTTGGTTGAAAAATATTGTACCATTTCATTATTACAATAACTTGTTAACAAACATTTTTAGCAATACATAGGAGGGCGGTTTTTTAAGTAAGGGCCAATTTTGTGTATAAATCCGTAGTTTGCTTGTACGCCGCAACGAGGTTCCTCACCACTTACTGGCATAATTTCTGAACAGAATTACACAGATTGCATCTCTGTAGCTGTCATATATGCTTTGTTGTGTGTTAAAAAAAATGTAAACCATCGAAACTCCCGCCATGTCCGAGGTAAGGTCAGTGATAAGTTATTTTACCACAAGAAAAATATCTAATGCTGACATTCATCGCCAGATGACTGAAGGCTATAGCCCTAATGCAATGAGTGAGGGTAGGAAGTGCGGAAATGAGTTATGGAGTGTAAAAATGGTTGTGAAATCCTTTCTCCTCTTTCGTCTTCTTCTGTGAGAAGTCTGGGTAACCATCAAAAACACAATTCCATCTTAAATAAACATCTTAATGGCCATTTTTAAACTCCCCAGCCTATTTCTGCACTTTTTACGCTATCATTGCATCATGGTCATAAACTCCAGTCATCTGGAGATGGATGTCTGCATCGGATATGTATCTTATAATCAAAAAACGTATCACTGTTCTTACCTCGGATGCGGTGGTATATTCGATGGTTTAAACATATCTTGGAAACGCACAGCGGAGCGTATATGATAGCTACCGTGCTGCAATTTGTGTCATTCTGTTCACACGACATTCGCTTATTGCATCTGATGATGATTGGAGTGTCCAATCGAAATCGATCACCACTTACCATCTTTTTTGTATATTTACCGTCTTGTGAGTAACAGTATAAGCGTAATTATTTGTTTTAAGTGTTATAAGACGTTTCTTTTATTTACTTTCCATAAATTTAATAACACGTACAATGCTGATCAAGAAGTTATTTAGTGAAATATCAGTGTTATGTTTTGTGTGTGACCTTTTACTGTGTATCTATTGCCACTTAACTCTAATTTTCTTAGGTAGCTAGTATTCGTTTTCATCATAATTCCTTAGTCAACCACACGGCTTCCATTTATGATGCAACATACATGTCATTCTCTTTACAATACATGTCAAACCTTATCGCCATTGTTTTTCCTCAATGATATAGTTATTGAATTCATACATAAACTACTTAACTTAGCATTAGTTTTCTCAATCTTATACTAGATATTTATGTTGAACTAGATTTACATGAGCATTTTCTTCTGTAGACTAAGCACAGTTTTGTTTTAGTGGTGACTGCTGCTCAAGCCAAGAACCTGATAGATGCGGGCGCTGACGGATTAAGAGTAGGAATGGGCTCAGGTAAACCATAATTAGTTTTAATTATGAAGTAACAGATTTTAAATTTGTTGTATAATTTATTGGTAGGGACCATGTATTTGAGAACCATGATGATAGTCATGTGAGTTTTAATCAGGTAAAACAATGCTTATTTGTGAATTTTAAAACTCAAACTGGGGTTTTCACAACTCATTCATTAGGCTTATTATATTCAATAAACGACACTTGGGCATGCATGACCTTATGCATAAAGCCCTAGTCATTCATTTAGCAACAACCCTATACTCAGATGTCTGGAATTTGTACATGTTCAACAGTGTGGGTAATGCTATTTGATCAGAATTTAAAATAACCTTACAGATGGCAGACTGTAATCATACCTGCAGTTGATAACACGGGCTATCTACGGAACCATGTATCTTCTGAGGCTGTAGTAAAGAGGGGTGTGCCACAGGGGTCCGTCCTGGGGCCGATCCTTTTCCTTCTGTTCATTAATGACCTGCCATCTAGCGTAAAGGAGGCAAATGTATGCCTATTCGCGGACGTCACTTCCCTAACTGTGTCCAGACCGAGTATGGAGGAACTGGAACTTGTCACCTTTCTGGAATCAAACTCCCTTCTTCAGTGGTGTGAAGAAAATGACCTAATCTTGAACGCTCAAAAAACCCAAATAGTCGAATTTTCCATTTCTAACCGGTCAAAACGGTCCCACTGTGACTTGAACATTCTCCTCGACGATAACACTATCTCCCCTTCTTCAGCAGTAAAATTCCTCGGTCTTGTCCTTGATGAAAACCTCAAATTCCACAGCCACATCGAGCACGTCAGCAAGAAATTATCGGTGGGTATATTTATGCTGAGAGTTCTCAGCCAATCAGCCACCACTGATGTCCTATTATCAGCCTATTATGGGCTTGTCTACCCTCATCTGACTTATGCGGTTCCTGTTTGGGGGTGCGAAAGTGAGAGGACTAGGTTCTTGTTTAGGCTTCAGAGAAGGTCAATTCGAATTGTGTTTTCTATTTCCAAATAACAATCATGCAGAGATTATTTCAGAGAATTTAAAATTTTAACTTTCCCATCTATTTACATCCTCGAAACTCTATCTTTCCATAGCAAAAATACTTCCTTTTTCTCATCTGCAAAAAATTCCAGGTATCCATTGTGCAATACGTTAAATCTACCGATTCCCCGGCATTCCACTTCTTTCTTTCAAAGAAACTTCCATTACAATTCTGTAAAACTATTTAATAGACTTCCACCTCAATTGAAGGCCGAACAAGATCCAAAAAAGTTTAGAACAGGTCTAAAGTCCATGTTGTTAGATAGATCATTTTACAGCGTCCGTGAATTTCTACTTTAGTGGTCATTCACAAAGTCATGTGCGCATGTTTAGTTATTTAGTTATAGAATTTTTTACAGTAAGGAATTTTTGTTATTAAGATGTAATAAATTTATTTTTCTTGTACTGACTTGGCTAATGCAAGTATTGTCAATTTGGCCCAATAAATGACTTATTGACTTATTAAGGTGTTTAGATCTAAGAAGTTAGTTGGAAACGGGAAATGATGTTGAAACCATGCCAACAAATCAGTCAAAATCTTGACTTGTCGTAACCTTTTACTGATGGATGCTTGTTTTTGTAGGCAGCATCTGTATCACACAAGAAGTTATGGCTGTGGGCAGACCCCAGGGTACAGCAGTGTATAAGGTGTCAGAGTACGCTAGGAGGTTTGGCGTCCCAGTCATTGCTGACGGAGGAATACAGAACATCGGCCACATTATCAAGGCTCTATCTCTAGGAGCATCTACAGGTATTTTATGTTTTACATTATTCCAAAACTCTCGCGGTCGTTTTTTTACCGTCTCCCCTAGTCGCAAAAACATTGTCATTGTTTTTCACAATCTTGGCAAAAGCTTGCACACCCTCCGCGGTTTTGCAGAAATCATTGTTGTATCTTTTTATTGACGGAAACATCATCGTCTTCTGTAGTCACAGCAAAATTTGAAATATATCCCACAGTCATGAAGCCACATCATCATCGTCTTCCGCAGTCACATAAACAACGTAATCTTTTTCCGCAGTTGTGGCAAAATCTTGCAGATCTTCCTTGGACTTGTAGACATAATCCCTGTCTCCTGCAATCACGGAAAATAATAATCATCCTCTGTGATGGCGAAAGCTCTTGTGATCCTCTCCATATCTACCTTCACTTGCTCCCAACATTTCCGCTTAAATCTTCCTGGGGGCCTTTCATCAGGGTTCCCCTTTGATACTTTTTTCAATTGACAATTCTCGTCTCTTTTTAGTACATGTCCCATCTGATTCTTCGACACTTAATTTCCTCCATTACTTCTATGCTGTTGTAAAGTTTCATTTTCTCATTGTGTCTTCTACTCTTTAGACTTTTTGCAGTATATTTTTCAAATTCTATTTGTTTCTTTTTATTAATTTTCCAAGATTCTGATCTATGTAAGAGAATTTTTTTTCTTTTCCCAGTTGAAATTGCAATAAATATCAGCACTTCCTTACTTACACTTCCCTATATAAATTATAATAGTGACAAGACAAGACTTAATTTAAAGGTCATAGTCGTATGATTAAGTTACTTTGTAATAGGGATGGACGAGATTGGATTTTTAGTTCAAGCCGAGACAGGATTTTTAATTTCTCATAAAATTTCAAAACGAGATCGAGACGGGATTTCCCTTCTCATACATAATGGGAAATGCACATTCGCCATTTTAACCTGATTTTGTAAAATTTTAAAATAGCCTACCTACTGATTTATGATAATGACTAGTTACATACAAAAATAATAATAATAGACTAGAGTATTTAATATAGTTTATTAAAAACATTAATACAAAATGTCAGTATAAAAAAAACAAAACAAATATTAAATAGGCCTACCTTATTAAAAATAACTCTTCTGCATAGGAAATATAGTGATATCAGTTAGGATATAGTTCAAATTTGGAATATACAAAATTTATCAGTCTGAAACATCAGCCTTACTAGTTAAATATTAAGTAACAATTTTTTTGTATTATTTTTAGAATGATTTTAGAGTGACTTGTTTTGGCTATGTTAAACATGTCTCACACTGCTTACACTTAACAAAACATCTTATCATTTGCCATGTCAAAACCAAAAATTATAAAACAAATTAAGTAATATTTACATGCAAAGAACTAATTAAATAAGAATGCCTTCCCAAAGGAAACGCAACTACAATGCGCTCCTGCATTGCAGGTATTGCATTGACTTTCTGCAGGCGTTTTTAAAGTTTTTTTATATCTTGTCTCGAAAAAATCTCAATCAAAATAAAATCTCGTCTCATAGAACAAAATATAAAAATTCCCGAAAATTTCTCAAAATTTTGAAACTCGTCTATCCCTATTTTTAAATTAACTTGTTTCTACCTAACAAAACATGATAAAAGAGTTTGTTGATTATTAGTTAATTATTATTTTTTTATAACTGGCCGCTGCATACGTAATACCAATGAGAACCTTTCTGTTTCCAGTTACTTTTATGTACCTATAAGCTACTCATATTTTCACAGCTAAACTACCTGAATTCTATCTCTTTAGAAAAATCTCTATTTTAGCGATTCAGAATTTTCACCTCAGATAATAGTTTACCTATATTGTGTCATGTCATAAGTAGAAGTATATTGTGCTACTTGAGCTAAAATTACTTTTGTTTAAAGCTGATCCAAGACAGTCAGTGCTTATCAAAGAGTTGTAGAGGCTGGAGAAGTGGTTGATTTATTGCTGTGTGCCTAGGCATATCAACCACATTGTGCTATTTATGCATCCTGAGTTGTGCTTTAGACCCTCAGACTTCAGAAATTTTATAAATTGACTAAACTGAGCATTTGATCTCTGCCTGATTCAAATGTCTGCCCATGTTCCAAAAGTGTTTTTCCTCAAGCAATGTTGGTTTGTCAATAATTAAACATAACTGTGCTGGTGGAGTGTAAACATTGTATTTGACCATTCCAGTGATGATGGGTTCACTGCTGGCTGGAACATCTGAAGCTCCAGGGGAGTACTACTTCTCAGACGGAGTGAGGCTCAAGAAGTACCGAGGAATGGGCAGTCTGGAGGCCATGAACAGAAAAGATGCCCAGGGTGGTGCCATGGACAGATACTTTCACAGGTAATTGTGTATCTTTGTTCCCAAAATACTAATTTTGAGTTGGTAATACTATACAGGGTGAGTTTTAATTGTCCCCCCCCAACTTTTTTCTACATTTTTTCAAATATCAATCCCAGACCACTTCCAAACATTGTTGGGTAGTAAGTACTTCATTTTGACAAGGTGGTAATTTCCGGCCGCCATCTTGGATCCGCCATATTGGATGCAAAATTTTTTTTTCTAAAGTTAAGGTGGGGTTGTGACCCATTATTTCGAACTAGATTTTTACCTTAATTACAATGCCGCAAACTGTTTTAAAAAATATTGATTCATTCTAAAGTTATGAGGGTTTTCTAAAACTTTATTTTTAGCCCATTATAACATTGTGCATTTACAAACTAAGACCATAATCTCAAAATAGTGCTAGATAAATATAAGTATACACTACCAGTAATTGTCGACCAATTTTCACTTGGTTAAGACTGATGTATTTTTTTTGGCCGCCATCTTGGATCCGCCATTTTGAAATGTGATAAATTATTTTAAATATGAAGGGGGTGTTGTGACCCATCATTTCTAACTACTTTTTTAAGCTGAACTTAATTCCATGATCCGTTTTTCATTTTCATTTTTTTATTTTTAAATATTGACATTTTTTCCAAAAAAATTGCAATATTTCGTAAACAAAACATAATAACAAAAAATGGATTGCGGCATTGAGTTTAGCTTAAAAAATTAATTCGAAATGATGGGTCACAACACCCCCTTCATATTTAAAATAATTTATCACATTTCAAAATGGCGGATCCAAGATGGCGGCCGAAAAAATTACATCAGTCTTAACCAAGTAAAAATAGGTCGACAATTACTGGTAGTGTATACTTATCTTTATCTAGCACTATTTTGAGATTATGGTCTTAGTTTGTAAATGCACAATGTTAAAATGGGCTAAAAATAAAGTTTTAAAAAGCCCTCATAACTTTAGAATTAATCAAGATTTTTAAAAACAATTTGCAGCATTGTAATCAGGGTAATAATCTAGTTCGAAATAATGGGTCACAACCCCACCTTTACTTTAGAAAAAAAAATTTTGCATCCAATATGGCGGATCCAAGATGGCGGCCGGAAATGACCACCTTGTCAAAATGAAGTACTTACTACCCAACAATGTTTGGAAGTGGTCTGGGATTGATATTTGAAAAAATGTAGAAAAAAGTTGGGGGGGGGACAATTAAAACTCACCCTGTATAAAGAAGATAACCAAACATAATTACCACCTTTGCAAAACTCAATTTCTACACACTGTAAACACTTTATCAAATATAATTACTCGAAAAGTACCTAAACTCTTCAAAATGGAAAGGTTTATGAATATTAGTGTACCATTAAACTGTAAGTAATAAAATATAGTTGTTTCAATAACTTTAAATATGCTTAGACTAAACAGTCTATTCTTTTTGAATTAACTAATAGTCTTTGTTGCAAAGTTAAACATTTTAAGAGGAGAGTTTGTAATATCAACTTACAAATGATAAGAATGTATAAAATTAAAGTTGATAGCTAGGCTACTTAAATCTCAAAAAGATAAAGTCTATCCTTGAAAAAGTAAGAGCAATATGATGTAAAGTTCAAGTCATGTGCAGTACCTCTGGTGCGCATATCCTCAAAATCTTTCTCATACATTAGTTTTGATATACTAATGTAAATGAGTATAGTTCACTCATTTAGAAATAAATGAGTGAACCCTCTAGGATTCACAACCAAATAACACTTGGTTCTACAATTTTTCTAACACAACAAAATTCAATACATTTTTCCCAACACAAACATGTTTCAAACAATCTATCACTATCGAGAATGAAGGCAGTGAGTTAGTAGAACAAGTTAAGTTTGTTTTCCGACTTGGATTTTTAAAGCCAAAATTTCAGCAAATTAACACATACTGGGTTGATGTTTAGGCTCGCATTGTATAAACAGTCTTGTAACTTTGCAGCAGCACTTCGTAAAAGGATTTCTTACTGTATATTTTTAATGGGGGGTTCTACCTTTTGTGTTGTAGATTTTTAATACTGATTAAATCAAATTCTATTAGTTTGAGAAGCCTTTCCAAAACACAGTGAGTGCTAATAGTATTCATAACCTCTCTTAATTAAAGATACTGTGGTAAAGTAGTAAAATTTCTGAGATATTTTGTTGAAAAAAAAATCCAGCCAACATAAACAAATACCATCTTTTAGAAATTCTCATTTTTTGCATAGTAAAGTGGATTACTCAGACTTATTTTCCCCGAGTGGTTGATTTAGGACTAGTTGATTTTGTTAACAAATTTATGCAGAATACATTATAACATAAACTTGTTCTGTAGACTCCTGGGCCCTTGGGGTGGAAAGAAAAATACTGGATTAAAGAATAAACAATTCTTGTAAGTCGTTATTGTCTTACTTGGCAACAGAACTCGTCAATTTCATTTACCTCAACACCGAGTAGTTTGTGTGTGACTGTAAATACATCTCAAGTTTGGAACCCTCTCACTAGATAAATAAAATGTTTGAAAACCCCCAAATTAGCAACAAAAAAATATTGAGTGTACATATTTTTAATTATTTTTGTTCAACCCTTCAAGTAGTTTTTTTTTCTTAAAAAAGTACTTAAAAACTTAAATGGTATCAAAAATCTAAATCAATGAGATATAAAATCCAAATAGCCTATAAGTTTTTGAACTGAAAAACTGTGGTTTAATTTGATCAAATAATTATTTAACAATAATAATACATAGGGCCTACACTATTAAAACATTCAAGGGTTATTGACTTTGCAAAGTTAAAATGTATAGATTATTTAATCATTAAACTCTTAATTTAAATATATAATATAGTTGTATAACAATTATATAGCATAAATATAAAATGTTATCTAATCTAATTTTTATTTTTTGGGGGGTATGTTTTTATCAGAAAAAAATCTAAAAATTAATTGTATCCCTGCTTTGTATTGCGTTAAAGGTCGTGTGAATTAGGATGACATATAGGTTAGGTAGTGCAAGAGAACAGAAAACTTCCTCCACCACTTTTCCCCTACGCTGAATAGTTATATTAAATTATATCTAATGAAATTTCATGAGATGGAAATACAAAATAACAAAAACAATGGTGGTGAGGGAAGTGTTCTAATGTGAATGTGTGCCCCACTCGCCACATTAAATGATTCAATCTATATATTTTGTAAAATACATAAAACTCATTTCAAAACCTTTATCATAAGTACCCCTATTATCCTTGAAACTTACTGTAATTTTTAGCTGACATTTAGCACAGTTGTATATTTCCATATAGGGTTAGTAGGTGTCATATTCTGTATATCATACCTGTTATTTCCAGTGCCTATAGATTGAAAGATGGGTCCCTAGAATGACCAGTGTTAAAATATAAATATTCACTTTGGATACTAAATAAGACATCCCATCTATATGGACCAACTGTCGCCAATGTTTTATTTAAACATGGTTCTGTGAGCCAGTCTCAGAATGTGATAGTGTCTACAACTCTTATTTTCTATCTCATTTTTTGTTGCTTACCAAGTAGATGGATCATAACAGTTGCTATAACTCATAATAAGTCATTACATTAGTTCGACTTGGTAAAAAAGTTCTTGTATTTGACAGAAATTGGTTCCAATTTAGATCAGCATAGTCTGTTTGCTCACATCAACTACGAACATTTTCATGGTGTCTACATTCCAGGAAATTCGGGAAAACCGGGAAACCTCCGGGAGTTTTGTCTTTCCTTGAAATATCCTGGAAAACTCCAGGAATTAACCCAAACCTCCGGGAATTTGGAGCCCGGTCATCGGAAACGTCGGTTAACCGAAAACACTACCGCTGATGTTGCCGTGATCATGGGAAAAGATTGACGGTGTCGCCAAAACCGCAAAATATGGAAATGTGTGTTGCTACCATCGCAGAAAACTATTATCGGTGTCGCCGAAACCACAAGATATGCTCACAGTATTGCCGCTATTGCAGAAGACCATTTTGTTGCCGTAACCGCAAAATATGCTCATGGTTGTTGCCGCGATTGTGGGAGACGATTATCGGTGTCACCGAAATCGCAAAATATGCATACCGGTGTTGTTGCGATCGGGGGAGATGATGATAACTGGTGTCACCTTACCTACCAGTTATACTGTTTAAATATGTTGTATGAAATATTATTAATTATTATAAGTTGTGATTTATCATTGTTTAAATGGAACTGTCTAAACCATATGTTAATGCTATTGCTATTAGTATAGGATACGGGCCAAAAACGTCATTTGTTTATGTTGATGATCCATACCGGTATTTTTCTAGTATTTGTGGTTACACTATAAAGCCTTACCCAAAGTAAATATTTGTCTCATTTCAATATATTTCTATTTTTAAATTTAACTCTTGTCTATTATTACTTACTTTTCTCTCTAGTACAACTACAGTGAAGAACAAGATTAATACAGTTTGACAAATCAGGAAAATATATTTGGTAATCGCACTGACAAAGGTTGCGACAAAGTGTCCTTAAATGTACGGGAATCGTCCGTGAATTTTTTATCCAGAATGTAGTAGACACCCTGTAACGATGCCTACTTCAGTATCTAAAGTCAATGACGGAGGTTAGTATTCTAGCCTAGCTATGTTGTATAGTTTGCTATAATATAGTGGTGTTACAGTGAGATGGACAAGCTGAAGGTGGCGCAGGGAGTCAGTGGCTCCATCGTAGACAAAGGCTCTGTTCTGAGGTTCCTGCCGTACCTGCAGTGTGGTCTGAGACATGGTTGTCAGGATATCGGAGCTCGCAGTCTCTCACTCCTCAGGTAACCAGACGAGTTCATGAATTGTACGTGGGTTTTTATGACCAGGAAAATTCTTTGAACCGTAGATGCATTTCGCATGGGACCTAGAAATTTGCAATAGTTGCCAAAAACCTGTCTGAGCGGCTGCTTTTATCATCACTGCATGCAGCAAGAATAAGAAACATCAATATTAGTGGAAAATGATCACCATGTCATCAGTACTTGTTTAGCTGAAATTATTTTGTATAAACAGAATCTCATTGAAATTAAATAAACTTTTCTTTTTTCCTACAATCAACCTACAAAGTGGGCTTCCTTGCACAGATTATAGTACAGAAAACCTTACTTTGGCACACAGTTTTTACTTTGGCACACCCCAGTATTCCAACATAATAACACAAAACAGCGTGCTTTTATTATGCACGTAATCTGTGTACGCTTGAAAGTAAGTTGGCAACTCTTAAAGATATTATGACTACAATCAGTTGGTGCAGCGATTCCCATTTCGTTCAATGTTTGGATTTAACCTAACCTAAAAACGTGTTATGCAGTGTTTGAAAGACTAATTATTTATACGATTATAGTAAATAACTGTAGGAAAAATATAATATGTAATACGAGTGCAAACTACCTTTGCTGCACTCGCCTACGGTTTGTGCGTAAACATTTCTCTCGTGCGCAGCAAAGTGCCACTTCGCCCACTAGTTACACAAATAACTATTGTTTACAATTTCTAGTTTCACCTAAATTCCCAGAGAGTTTCAGGCAGGATTTTCTTCCCGTGCAACAAGGAAAGCTCAAATTTGTTTCAAAGTCTTGAGTAAAGGTTCTTGCAAATGACAATAATTATAAATAAAATCAATTCATAATCTTTATTACTATGTCTTCTTAGTCTTATTCTTAATCCAAGAATAATCGCTATCAATATCCCACTATTCCAGGGTCATCGTCATCTTCACCTGCCATAGTGGCAAAATAATGAAAATCTCTCACGATCTCAAAGACATTATTGTCACTCAAGATGGTGTTATATTGCTGACAGTTGGAACAAATCCTGTACTGATAAAATTCTAAATCATATGTAATCCCTCCCGAAGATCAGAAATAAGTTTTACCAGAAAATCTCCCTTTATTTCGGACCTGTCCATCCTTACCAAACTCTTTTCAAGTTTCTTTTATGTATGCGTTTCATGCTACACTCCAAACGTTTTTCTGGGGAAACTATGTTTGAATCATTGGCACAATTTTTATGTTACAAACATGTTAGTGTGTTTAAGATATAAACTAGTGAAAAAGATGTGGAACTAGGAGTTCTAGTTCCCCAAATCGTGCTTAGCATGGCCTCCACAATCACCTGATATAGCATCGTTGTTTGCTTATTTTGATCTATTTCATTTTCATACAATTATTCAATAAACAATAATCAATGTTGAGTAAATCTTAACAATCTTATGTCCTCTTATAAATTGTGCTTACATAGAACATGTGTAGGCATTCAGACAAAACTATTTGAGTTTCTGTTTTCATTTTGTGTAAATTTGTATTAACAGCCCATGAAAAAGTCTTATAAGCCTAATATTAGTTTGAATAAACACCCTGTATAATTAATTGAATGATGTACTTTGCAATAAGAGATTTGCCTCCTCTGTTTCAGATCGATGATGTACTGTGGTGAGCTCAAGTTCGAGCGCAGAACACAATCCGCGCAATCTGAGGGCAACGTTCACAGCCTCTTTTCATATGAGAAACGACTTTTCTAGCTAAGTAAGTTAAATATTTTATTATTTCATATGTTTATCTCTGAAGTAGTTAAATCTACAATGTTTGGCAATTTACTCTATCGAATGACCTTAGAAGATAATGTAAGAAAACCCTTAGCTTGATAAATTATTGAATGTGTCAGATTATTACGAATGCTGGATTAGCAGGTTTTTTTTGTACTTGTATAACAGTCAATTATTTTATGACAGAAGTTTCTGATGTTATTATTTTTTTGCCAGAAACTAGTGTGACAATCTATAAAAACAATATTTGTTTGTTAAGTACGATGGGTTCACCTTCTGATAACCTTATATCTATTTCCCTTTTAATTTTATTTGTAATTCCCAGTACAGTATTTACTTACAGTAATTAATGCTTAGAACGAGTATTTTCTGTATGCTGTTTTATTATTTGTCAGTTGAACTTATGTAGACTGGCCTCTCTCAGTAAATGGTTCACTGAAAAGTTGGCTTGGAAAATATACTGCAGGCCTCACTAAACATTCAACATCCTCCCGACTCTAATCACTCAACGATCGACTATCAATCCTCCTTCTCTTGTTAAATTCTATGTTTAGCAACAGATTTTACATACTTGTGATCGAACACATAGTTTAATGCCGATAACAAAACAATGAATATAGACAGTAGCTAGTCAGCACTAAAAAGAAAAAGAAACATTAATTTACAAACCAAGATGAGACGCACAGGGTTGAATTGACCAGTGCAAGACAAAAGGCTGTTTAGCCTACCGACTAAAGATTAAATCTAATTTTTTGTACGTAAAAAAGTATCAGCCTGGTCATTTTGACAGCCTTGTAGGTTAAGGCAATGCTTTGAAGTGAGAATGAGTAATGAGTAGAAAGCAGTTTCATTCTACATTACTATAGTTCGGCCGCTTAGAAAGCGACCTCCTCCAGCATTGGTTTAGCATTAGCGCGCAGGTCGTTTTCTATGTGGCCGAACTATAGTTCTTTGTTTAAAGTAAGTTGAAGGTCGCCTAGATGACCTCAGGTTTTCTGTGATCCGTGTTGGTTCCACTAAGCCTTCAGGGGTTGTAGTGGGTGTGAGCCCCCACACTTTCTATCTGTGCTTGTGCATTGCGTACAAATAAAGAAGAGTATATAATAAACCATCAAAAGTTGACATTTCTTAGTACCTAGCAGATAGGTTAATTATTTCCAGTATTACTTTTGGTAATCTGACACTTTCCCAATGCTCTAAGTGATTGTATAAACTTGTTTCTGTCTAACTTTGTGTTTCCCATAGGCTCTGGGGGAGATGGGAAGGCTAAGTAAGCAGTTCTTGCCCCTACACCAACCCAAGGATACCACATTCTTCATGGTATTTTTATGTGATACACTCAAGGATTTCATGTTCCTTCCTTGAAATATTTCATGATTATCTGATTATTTACATAATATTTTATATTATTTGTGTTCCCATGTTGTTCTTCAAAGGGTATCCCTTTTAAATAATGACTATTTTTAAGACACAATCATTTCTTTATGATCACGATTATTGGTTAATTTCTTTTGTATGTATTTTTGGCATCAGTGTTTAAATACTACCTGTTACTTCTGTTAAATAATAGCTAGTATTTGTATTTTGTTTGATATAATCTTTTCTTTATACAATTGCGATTATTGGTATTAACTGCGGTCAATTTTTTAGTATCCCAGTTAATAATGGCTTGTATTTGTTGTTTTTACGTTATATTCTTTACACAGATCAGTTATTTTATAATTTAACCTCTGATAGAAGTTTTTTGTTTCTTTTTTACATAATGACTATTTTGTATTTTCACTACATAATCTTGAGGGTAAGTCTCTGTAATGCTTAGGCAAGTTTTGTTGTAGATTATTTCTTTTTTTTATGTATCGGTTGTTTGATGTTTTAATGCTAAATATTTTGAAAATTCTCCTCTGAAAATTAATACTATTCCATTTACATTTGTATACATGTTTTTTCTCACTTCTTTTTTAGTAAAATATTTAGAAAGTTCTTTGTTATGTCAAGGATTAACACCATATACTAATAAATGTTATTGCAAGTTTATTTTTACAAATTGTTTTAAAAACATTTCGGTTGTTATTTATATTTTGTGTTGTTATCTACTACACTGAGTCAATCAATGGACTATTTCCTATCTTGTCCAACCAAATGCATAAGAGATTTCTTGTGTATTGGTTTAAATCAATCATCTGGTTTATGATGTGATAAAAGTGTTATCTACAATGTCATTTTCTTCCATGTTGTTTTATTGAGAATCGTTTTAGTTCAAGAATTTGCCGACTTGTAATAAAAATTTGCTTACTTCACTTTGTTTAATGTTTTGAATTTTTCATCAAAGTTTACAATAATATTTTCCCTAAATTCTTTCTTAAATTATATTTTATTCCTACAATTTTGGTAATTTATGCGTATTTTAGTGATGACTGAGAAAGCAAATCTGAGCATTCTTATTTTATGTACTAATTACTAATATTATCTGAACTTGCTTTATAACTGTATATGGCTGTGTTCTGTTAATTTTGAGAAGTTGCTGGTTACTATACTCCTGTATATAAACCTGAGTATTCAAAACCATTTTCTACTGGAGGATAAATTATATATCTTTCACTGTTCATGAATATATTTGCTTTAAAATTGAGTAAACTTTTGCTTGAACTTAAAGAAATGTTTGAATTCTGAGGTTTAAGTACAGGAGTATTTTTTGTGTTGTGTGATAGTTAATATTTTAATATAAGAGACAACTAGATTAAATGTACATACATGATGTAAAATTACACATAAATCTAAATCTAAATATTTCAATAAAGTTTTCAAATTTGTACTATACACTCGTTAGTCGTTATGCATTTATTCTTGACATTTTATTTCTATCGCTCAAGCTAACAAGTGACTTGTTACTTTCTGTCCAGAGAACACTCTCTGTACCAGAGAATATATAGAGATCATATATACTCTATAATCTGTAATCAATCATCGTAAGTACAAACCGTTTTACACCTTTTTCAAAATGAATTTGTGAGTGGTTTCAGAAATGCACCATATTTTAGCAATAAACATACACAAATTTATACTAGAATATAACGCTTGACACATTAAAAACCAAGGATAAATATCCAAGTGCAACCAACAAATCCTGATATTTTATGCTAAATCTTATGAACATAGACCAAAATATTTTAATATTCCCTTTACCAAAATTTGTAACATTTATTGTAGGCATTTTCTATGTGTAATGTGCCAATGTTGTGCCATTGTGCTTTTCAAGTATTCATACTGGAATAACGTACATATCTTTTTTACTATGATCTTGTAATACTATAAATGCAACACTTCAAAAAAGAGTTTTGTTGTAGTTGATTAAATCATCTGTTCAAAAATGTTTTGAGAGTTTGTGCAAAGCACAATACTACAGATTGTGTATTTGAAGAATACTTGTCTTACATTTTCCTTACAATCCCTTTTTAATTCTATTTCTATTGTTGTCAATTTTGATTTATTGATTGTGGACTATTTTGGGCATTTTACTATTTAGTAACAAAATATTCACCGTGTTATTGTATGTTGCTCAGTAGTGTGTTATCATTTTAGGCAGTAGCATTGGTAGAATTACTTTAGCCGTAATTGATCTCATCAAAGTATAAGAATTTTGTTGTTCTATCTAATGAAATATCAGGAATAACTTCTGGTTTGGCTTGCATAAGTTTCTATACGTATTGGAAGTCTGTATGGGTATGTTTACTTTTCCAATCTTAAAATTAGCACTGTTGTTATTTATCTCCCGGATTATAATGGTTCGTTAAAACACTGTAATTTTATTGTGATGAGAAGTAGATAAGATTACAGTGTTTTTTTTTTTTTGTTTTTTTTTTAACTAGGGACAGGTGCATACTCGATGCCGCAGATACTTGGACATCGGTATCGAGAATCGATCGTCAAAAGTTGATTCCGATACCGATGCCCAACTCGTCTGCGAAGATTGCGTGATCGAAAAATTACCGCTATTGCCACGATTGTGCAAGATGACAATCACGCTTCCGTGATTGCGGCAGATGAGGACAATGTTCTCACCCCTCCAGGAGATATTCATGATTTTGCCGCAATCACGGAAGACGATGATGACATTTTTTGTGACCACGGGAGTCGATGATAATGACTACACAGCCATGGGAGATGTTCATGATTTTGCTGTGATTGCGCAAGACGACAATTATGTTTATGTTACCGAGGAGAAAAACATTTTCTCAAAAATACTTGATGGAAGGACATAAAGACAGGGATTGGTGTATTTATAACCAATCCATTCAGAAACTTTGGTAAAACTATTAAAAAAATGGTATCGGTATCGAGAATAGATTTTTCAGGTATCGGTATAGAGAATTGATCATTTCTTTTACATCACTAATTTTAACTAAGCAGCGAAGCAATATGACTTCCTAGTAGAATGTCTCCAATCATCCAAAAATAAGCTATTCAGTGAAACCTCTTTTAACCCCACCCCGTTAATCCGATACTGTCCTAGAAAATTAAAATTATTTGGAAAATGAGCTAGGCAAAACAAACTGTCCGCCATGGCGCAAGTAGTCGGTTGGCTTTGCCAATCGAATAATTTAGCAAACAACATGGATCTGGTATCCATGATATAGATAAAGTTCAGGAAACCAATATCAATTATTTTCAGAAATAGTTATTGTGTAGTTGTAGATCTTTAAGTGATAACGATTAAAATTCCAAAAAACTTCAGTTCTAGTTTCCTACTATTGATAAACCCCTACTAAACCTACTATTTTGGGTTTAAAGGAGGTTTTACTGTATTGATAAATTAATAAGGTGTGAAATTTATCACCAACAATTCTTTAGAAATTGAAAAGCTCATAACGATTTGAATATATCTCCTCATGAACCAAGTTTCATGAATTGGCGTTTTACAATTTTTTTGTTAGTTATTCACAGGGATGTAATTCATGTTTGTACACATGTACCACCTTGGCTAGAGCGCCTAGGTTGATAAATCTTTTTCAACGTAAATTCTATATAGTTTTTTATATAGAAAACTATAAGAAAGATTTTTGCTAATTCCATGTTTATGGAATTATATTTAATTTTCTACACTATTATACATAATGATTTGTGTATTTGTATATTTTGTTTTTTTGAACCTAAGTACAGTTTATGTGTTTTTTATGTAATTAATTTACATGTGTTATGTTCAGTTGATATATAAATACGGTAAAGCTTGTGAACAAAGTATAGCTTTAACAATATTCATCACAAGCACTAATGTAAAATGAAAAAAGTTAAAAATTTATAATGTTTTAGAAGTTATTGTGGTATAATTAAGATGTATAGAATTTCTCGTCTGTATTTTTCATTTTTATATATCTACACAAGCAATGAATATTCCACTGTTAGGGTCTATGGTGTTTTTACTGTGGTAAATACAATATATTTGAGCATCGAAAGTGATCTTGAAATACAAAGTTCAAGGTTCTTGCCGGACTGGTAACATAATTTTGGACTAAGAAATGTGTAACAATGTAAAGTTGACTGGTTTATTCAATTTATATAGTCTTACATACCCACTATAATTTTTGCCTCTAAATTTTAAATGATTTGTTTCCAAATGGCTATAAAAAAGTGAATTATTCCACTTAATTCTATACATAATACATTTTTTATGTCATGATCAGTGTAAGAAGGTTTGTTGTTTCCTATTGTAAAAATCGCTAAAGATTTAAAATATGTTTTGCGTAATTTTGTTGTACAAATTTCAACATTTAATGTTTGATTTAACATGGGAATTGCTTTTGAGCCCAAGTAACTTGAAGATATTTTGTTTTGGTTTTTGATATTAATGAAATATAAATGTATGACCTAGATATTTTTATGATTTCTTTGTTATGTTTGGTGAAAAACCAGAAATAGAAATGAGAATAACGAAGTCTGTTGATTTTCTTAACCTACAATCCTGCACACTATCTGCATTAGCATTAGCAAGTGAATATACTATGGGCAAACATATTCATAAAACATTTGGAAGGACCTTCAGGAGAGTCTGTAGCTGGCCCCTTCATGGGGGAAGAACACAAATAACAATATTAAACTGCAACTGGTGGATAATAATGTCATCTTAAATTTGTATGTTTTTTATCCATAATTGTACCTATGTATTGACATGAAAAACGATTATACCCTAAAACTTTGCCTCTGAAAGATGCAATTTTCCTTGAAAACCCTTAATAATTCGAACCTTGATAGTTCAAGTCACTTGATAAATTAAATTTTATAGCCGTTCACCTTAGTATTTTATAAGGTTCCACAATGTATATATATAATTTTAGCTTAACTCATTATGAATTGAGCATATGCATTATCAAAATGTCATCAAGACTAATGTAATCAATTCCAGTAATCGCAAAGAAACTTTAGTAAATTTCTATTGATTCAAAACATCTTTTTTCCATTTCATGAGTCTTACTATAACTTGCTTTGTTTGACATCTGTTTATTTGTGATTTGTATGAAAAAACTGGAAAATTACCTGGTTGGATTTGGCGGCAAAGTGTTTGGTGTTAACTAATAGGGAAACATTCCTAAAACGGTGTTTTACAACAGCAGCCATTTACTATTTTACAAATCTAAGATCTTGTAACCAAGAAACACTACATAACATTAGAAGTTAACATACAGAACCACTTAACATCATAGTAAGTTAACTGTACATCTTCTTAACAATCTTGAGGAGTGTGTGTTTTCAAAATCAAAATTTTTATTGTTCTGTAAAACATTAGTTTATTAGAATGTCAAATATGCATTCCATGAAGGAAAATATCACGATTATATTACTCGCTAAGTGTAAGAGAAACAGGTAGGCTTGGATAAAAACCACCACAATTTTAGTAAAAGTTTTACTTAACTTGATAAAAAACAGTTTTTGTACAAAATAATTTGGTTTTTTCACCATATTATGCTAAGGTAAAAAAAATCTGCTTAGGTCAAGAAGATACTAACTATCAAAATTTGCCTATAAAAAAAAAGTATCTAGATAACTTAAAGTCATTTTAGGCTAATCAATTCTCATTATCATCAATTCATACCTATTTTAAGTAAGCATACTCAAAATAAGAAAATCTTTACAGAGCACATTTTTGTGAGTCTCGCCCATTGATTAAAGGAGTAGACAGGTTGTCTATTTATTATTTTAGATTGTCTACCTACTCCTTCTCCTTAATCTATGGTCCACAAAAAATATCTTAAATCTAATTAGGTAGTTAGCTTAAAACATTGGCCTATGTAATGAAATTAATTTTGAACTAACATCAACATAGAAACACTGCTGGCCAGAAAATATAGCATTCATGCAAAAACCCCTGGTTTTATATTGTTCAATGTGATAAAATAAAAGTTTAACCTGCTAATCAATTAACCATCATAATTTATAAGTTTAAACCTTATGCTGAAATACACAGTGGAAATCATTTGCAATTTATGATAACAGTTCAGACTTAGAAAGTGAGAAATTAACAATCCCATTTACTTTTGGAAGCCTACCATCAAGATGGTGATTATTTATTCAATTGGATCGTCATTACTGGTAAAATAACTTGGGTGAAACATCAATTGTGAGATGAAATTGCAATCAATAAAGTGGGAGCTCACACATCTCTCTCTCAATACACCTGAGTTAGGCTTGAAAACCTTGACAAACAGTGAGATTATGGTAACTGTGATTCATGTTAGGCATGGTGTGCTTATGATTGACTATCTTGAAAGAATAGTCATTTATTCCATCTCTAAACAATACAATATTGTGATTGATTTCGTCGAAAAACAAATACACCCTCATTTTTGGCTTGCATTGTAGTTGGACAAGAGACAAAATGGCATGCTTATAATTTTATAATTTAGAGTTCTGCAGGATCTCTACTCAAGAGAAAACTGTATCTTTATTCAGTTTTCCAGACTTCTTAAGCTAATAACACAGAATGATATTACAGTAGCTATAATTAATATCACAGTATCTATAACTAATATCACAGATTGAGATTTAGCTGCATTTAATTAAATTATAAAATCATTAAAACAACAAATAGACATACACTTTAAAATCTAGCTGTAATGTCTAAGTGTGTGTGTCTAACAGGACAAAATTGAATATATTGTGTTTCCTATTCATAGAACAAAGGAAATATTGAACATTTAGGTCTAGCTTAGTAATGTCAGTAAAACTGGTTGACTGGTTGGTAGCTTATGTTATACAGAAATGTATTTATTTTTGTTTTAAAATCATTATCAGATATCTGTAGGTAGTTTAAATTTTTGGTTGAATCGTCTAAGATATATGTATATAAAAGCCAAATTACTTTTATCCTTATGGCAAAAGAGACAGCAATAAATAGTCAGGAACATTACTTACCTTTTTGGTAATAGGTGAAATAATACAATTAATTTTGTCACCTATTACTTCCTCCTTAAGGGGGTATCACTTACTTACGTTATCGGCGTTATTTCACTACTTTTTCTAACAGTTCAGACGAACATTGCAAAAATAATTTGCTATTCTCAGTAATCTATTACCAAGATACTATTATTTTATATCTGATGCTCGCTGTTAATAGGAAGACGCGATCAGTGGTATAGTTAGTTAGTTATTTCATTCACCCTTTTCATTGCGCTTTAAGCAGTTCAGATGATGTTATAAACAAAATATAATAATCTCAGTAATATATTACCAGATGCCTGTACCTCCAGCTTAGCACAGTAAACGTGAGTAAACATTTTTAAAACCATAAAGACATATTCTAGTTGGATTTTGTATTGTTGTCATGATTCACTTACTTTAAGTAGGCTATATGAAAATTGTTAGGTCAATTCATATCTCAACACTGGTTTGACTTTTGGACTCGACACATTCTTATGTTCATGCAATCCTAGAATGAATCATATAATGAGGGGTTATCTGTACTCTGTATGGTATCTAACATTTTGGCATAGTTGTGGCTCACAAACAGTGTTACATAAAAACATGTAACACATTTTATGTGTGTTTCCATAAAACTTTTTGGCAACCTATTCTCAAATTTCCTTATTTTAAACCACTTATTGGGCAAAGGAAATGTCACACATAATAAGCCAAATATTTGCTGAGGAATATTGAAGGTGGAGGGAGCATGAGGAATCGGTCCCTAATGGTACTTCCAGAGTGCACGCCGATTCAGATTCTGATTCCGATTCTCGGCGGCAGGAATGGCACTTGCATTCAAATGGAAGTGGCCATAGTGGCTGCCGGTTGCCGAGCCCGTGTGCAGGCACCTGCTTCTTCATTCTTCGTTCTGGTTTCAGATTCCGATTCAGATAATATTCGTATGAATGCTATTTAATTACATAAATTTTGTTTTTATAGTAGAATATTAAATTTTGTATCCTTACTTTTAGGGTTAACACTAAACGCTCTTCAGGAAAAATTCTTTGTTTATGTAGGTTACACCAGTTTCTTACAATACAATATTCAATTTTAATAGTGAGTTTCGGGCTCCGTTTAACAATATAGAAAGAACATTGCTCTATCATTTCTAGCTATGGGAAAAGAGATATATAATATGAACCCCATTTTTCACTGGCTTCACAACAGTTTCAGACGCTCAATAATTTTACATGTTAATTCCTCATCTGTCAATTCCATAACTACGACTGACTTGCTTCTTTGCTAACCGAGTAGTACCGGAGGCGTATTTCCTGCTTCCATTGTGGCCACCAACAAAATATCTGACTCAGATTAACCACGTGACGAAAATCTGAGTCGGTGTGCACCCTGGATGTACCTGAGATCACGATGACTTTTAACTAAGTGATGATCTCAAAACCCTGGAGTGTACAACAATCCATCCAGTCAGATGAAGCACCTTAGTACATTCGTAAACCTTTTCAAAAATGTGTTTGATTGCCCTGTTTAACTCAACCTCTTTTATAAATAAAAATACTGTCATTATGGTTCTAAACTCAAAGTCAAGTAATATTTACATTCAAAGTTATGCCTTGGAAAAATATTCATGGTATTATATTTTACCAATATTGCCAATTTTAAATACAACCACAGAGATGTAAGGTATAGAGGAAACATTCAATGTTACACCTAAGTGGTGTCTGGGACTAAGTGGTGTCGTTGGTGTCTAGGGTAAACTCCAAAAGCCCTCGCCATCATGTACTACAACGCTCACGGTAGAGGAAGACCCCATGCCCAATGATCACTGCTTGAGCTCTTCCTTGCCTGTCACAAGTTTTTTTTTTTAGCACAAAATACTACAGCTGAAAGCAAACAGTCCTCTTATAAGCGTGTTTCCTCTGTACCTTGTGATACAACCAATTTTCCAATTTAGCAAAAATGTTAACATTCCATAACACTCAACGTGTTCTTTTTGAACAGACGTTTCAACAAATCGGAATGAAGATAGTTGTGTATTCGATCTTATGATCACTTCTACAACTTGCCAACACCCCATTAAGATAAAAAAAAAAATTAATAAACAAAAATTAAGTCAATTTATTTGTTATAACACAGCAAGGAAACTGTGAGTCGGTTGAGGTCAGGTTACTGAACTACTCCTGGTCTTCTTCTTCTACTTCCATAGCTTCGGCAGTCCGCTCAGGCTCAGCGTTGGAGATATTCTCCTCGACCTTCTCCATGCCGTGGTCCCCTGCTTGCATTGTCTCCCCAGCTGAAATCACCCACACAAACGGAATTAGTCAAGAAAGAATGATTTTGACACATCTCTTTTTGACACAACTAAACTCCTCTAGCAGTAATGATTTTTATCGTATGTCTAACAGTTTCGTTAAACATATTATTAGTAATCTGTTGAACCTCTAACTGCTTTAATCTCTGTCCCCTTGAAGGTGTCATTCCAGATGAATTAAAGGTCACCAGAGTCTCTCCTTTTTTTTAAAGGTAAAAAAGACATTCCGGAAAGTTATTGCCCAATATCAATAATTCCTGTAATATCAAAGTAGTTTGAAGTCATGGTTTTTGATCAGCTGAATTCTTTTTTTGAAAGAAACAACTTTTTAAGTGTTTGACAATTTGTTTACTAAGTGCAAGTGTAGATTTGACACCATAGACAAATTGATTAAGGTCCTAATTGTCTTTGAGAGGAAGTCACTTGCTCAGGCCAATTTCTGCGACCTAAATAAGGCTTTCGATTGTGAGGACCATGATGACCTAATGATGAAAATGAAATTAAGTTTTTACTGTTTCAATGGAACTCCACTCTCTTTTTTCAAATCGTACCTCAACAATAGAACACAAACAGTCTGTATTGATAGAGAATGGTCCCAGGAATTAAAAATGAAATATGGCATTCCTCAGGTGTCTGTTCTAGGTCCTCTGTCGTTTTTAATCTGTATTAACGACCTCCCAGAATGTATAACTATAAAAACTTTCTTATATGCAGATGATACAACATTTTAAAATATTAATCCTGATCTTAAACCACTTCAAGATTTAGCTCAAAACTCAATTAATGAAGCCTCTATTTGGTATGAATCTTATGGCTTCCTCTTAAATGAAGATAAAACTCAAAGAATTGTTTTTTAGCCTTAGACTGTGAGAATTAAATATGTTGTATGGGTATGTAGAAAATGTTAAATTTCTTATCAACTGCATAAATTCTAAGCTTTAAAATAAAATATTTCTCACATTGTACGGACTAAAATTATATTAAAACAGCCTATTTTTCTTTTTAGTGAATTTCCCATATAGGGTATAAGCTATTACTGTAGGTCTCATGGTAAGACCTGGACCCGGGACCGATTTACTTTTTGTTTTGAGGTCCCCAGAGGCCGAAAACACCATCCGTTCAAATTCAAATATATACAGGGTGTCCCGGAACTCTCTACCAATATTTTTGGGCATTGATCCTGGGTAAGAAACGTACCTAAATATCATATTTAAATTGTCCGGAAGTCCTTAGTTACTCACACAGCCGCCATTTTGTTTTTTTCAGTTATACATTTTTTTCTAAAGAATGGTTAAACATACGAAATGGAAACTTTGTACAAACATTTATGACAACTAGACAAAGCTACAAACGAATTATGACGATTTTTCAAATTCATAAAACAAAATGGCGGCCATTTAAAATTTTCTTTCTTAAATAACTCAAAAACCATTGATTTTACAAAAATTTTAAATGGCCGCCATTTTGTTTTATGAATTTGAATAATCGTGATAATTTTTTGGTAGCTTTGTTTAGTTGTCATAAATGTGTGCAAAGTTTCCATTTCGTATGTTTAACCATTCTTTAGAAAAAAATTTATAACTGAAAAAAATAAAATGGCGGCTGTGTGAGTAACTAAGGACTTCCGGACAGTTTAAATATGATATTTTGTTATGTTTCTTACCCAGGAGCAATGCCCTAAAATATTGGTAGAGAGTTCCGGGACACCCTGTATGTCCGTTAGCACGATAACTCAAACAAAAATTATCCGATTTTGATGAAATTTGGTATAGACGCATAAACCTACATTTATTTGAACGAGTTTGCGAACCAGCATGATCAGACCACGAGAACGGGGGATTATGGGGGATTTTATGGGGTAAAAATGGGTTTTCCCCATTTTTGCCCCTCAAAAAATTAAACTTTTGAATTTCTTTTCTAACCATTTTGTTGAGCTTAAAAAAGAAATAATTTAGTATATTGAAGCATTGTTGTATGCCTAATAGTTACGGTGAAAATTCAAAGAAGTGCAAATTTAAAATTTCCATGTTATTCTTATGGAGAAAATGAAAACTGTTGTAGTTGTTTTTGGATATATTTTGATAAAATTTGGCAAATTTATTTATTTCTTTCTATACTATTGACGTTTGGTCAAAAAACACTGATTACCTTCCCCATAGCAGCAAACCTAAGCACTCGTTAAATCTAATGTTCTTTAAACTGGGAATAAATGTGTCTTATTTATGGAAATATTTTAGTAAATATATAATAAGACAAGTTGACATTCACTTAGTCTGCAGGTTTACTGCGGTGGGGGTATTTCAATCTATTTTCAGATACAATATTATATTTTACGGCAATTGCAGTAGGATAGAGGAAATTTTAATCTTACAAAATAAGTTAGTTAGAATAATGTCTTGTGCACCCCTACCGAAACACTTTAAGTCCCTCCCATTCATTCAGCTACAAATTCCATCAGTAATTAACATTTATGTATTTGACTCTGTATTACAGGGCCGGTTTAACCCATACGCGAACTAAGCGGCCGCATATGGTGCCACGAAAAATTGGCGCCGTGGCGCCAACTGAACAATTTTTTTTAGTGAACAACGTAATTTTGTTTATTTTCGCTCAGAGTTCAAGTATTCAAAGCACCACAAAAAAGGCATTTATTCTGTTTGTACCAACAGCATATGAAAAATGCGTATATTTGTACAGCACTACAACTTAAGGACTTGATGCCATTTGTAGTTTCGATTTGTAGTGAGCTGACGCTCGGCAGTCGGCAGCGTACTACAGCGCGGCGCCTGTGGGTTTCATTTCATGACTCATGTTCCGAACCACATTCTGAGGTTCTGAACCAGATTGATACCAACTCTGCAATTAAAGAATTTGCCAAGATCAAAGCTAGGAAAATTAATTTTTAACTGCTAAGAGCTTTTGAACTGTTCAAATTAATAATTTTGTAGGTATTCTTTTTGTCAAGGTAATAAATTTGGTTTTTCATGTTTTCTTCATGTTTAATGTGTTCAATTAAAATTTCTTCTCTTGTCATCTATCTACACCTGTTTTTCATTGTAATAGGCTTTAACTTATATCGTATCCAAGTTATCCTGTAATAGTATATTACGTTACTAGTCCTGAAAATAAGTGTTTAGCGGACGAGTGTGGTCGTTCCCGTGCGAGACGATGGAGTACGGGATTACCATACGAGTCCGGTTAACACATTTTGGACAAGTTACGTACGATAGTTTACGCCATACTACTAAATCTGTACAAATCCTTACATATTACCACCAACTAAAGGACTAAAAATCACTAGTCATAACCTTTAAGAGAGGTTGTGTTTTTGTTTATAACCACTCATTGTCACCCAAATACAGTGTAATCAGCTGATTGGTGTCCGGTAAAACTCATTACAGTACAGTGGGTACGCAATGAAACCCCATTTGATTAAGCTGGCGGCAAACAGCTGTTTTCTGGACTAAATCCTTGTGTGGGAAGTTCGTCAAAATAGTGTAGTGTGGCGTAAAAATTGTTTTCACATTTAGAAATAAATTGTTAACTTAGGCCGTGATGCTAGTCAAGCAGGACGTCACGATAGAAGACGGCAATGACGTAGGTATTTATTTATTTATTTTCCAAGGAAAGATTAAAACAAGCAGCTGATCACAAACGGCAAACATTACGTCATTGCCGTCTTCTATCGTGACGTCATCCTTGACGAGCATTACGGCCTGTTTTTTTAGTGTAGCCTTGGTTTTGCTAAAGTTTATACGATGAGTAAAAGTGTAAAAATGTTAAATTCCTGGGAATAATAAACAGTCTTTTATTGCAAGTATTCTTCTAACCTAAACTTATAAAAAAGTTCTTCCCAAAATCTTTGGGAAACAATTCACAAATAGAGTTAAGTAATGTTGATGGTGGGGTGGTGGGGGGGGATTCTAAGTGGCGGTGATTCGGGTGTTCGCTTATTTCTGAAAAATTCCTAGAACCGGCCCTGCTGTATTATATATCCTAAAAAATCCCAACTCAAACAAAATTCTCATATTCATAATACTAGAAAACAGTTGTTACCATTGTTTAGCTTGTCTAAAACTCATAAAAGCCATAGGCTATTTTAATTTCATTAAAAATATACAACAAGCTAATACCAAAATATCATGAAAATACTTTTAAAACTAAATTCTACAAATTGGCTTTTGGACAATCCCTTTTGTTCTCTTAAAGAATTTTTTGGTATGCATTGTATAAATTTAAGTAAAGCGAACAAATTAAAAAAAAGATACTGTTATATTTAGTTACTCTGTAGTTATAAATAGTATTCTCATCCATTATATTCTTTGTAAACCCCATATTTCATTTCATGTTGACTATGTCAGTCCCTGACTGTATTGTATTCGACTTTGTCAACGCTAATTGTTTTACGACAATAAAAGATTGTTATTATTATTGTTGTGTTTAACATGTCTATAGGAATTTCACCCCTTGCATTACGCTCAAAGTCTCATATACAGTTTCTTGAAGGGCAAAGACTTTATTCTCAAGCAGTATTTAAAAAGGCACTGACACTTACTTTGACGTTGTTATCAGTGACCTAAATATGACTTCCAAAGGGTTGCTTGATTTGTGTGTGACAGCTGACGCAGCTGTGCGATCACAGGTAACCACCGAATTTGTCATTTTAGTAATCACCTGGAGGATATGTTTAGCTTAAAGAGTCTGTGGAGGCTAGTGGCCACCTTGGATTTGCCCACCATTAGAGCAATGTTAATTTTGTTAATTTCAAACAGCCGCTGAAGAGTTATTTACCATCTCAAAATATTTGTTCAAATACCAGTGATTGTAATTTAAATATATAGTGTACTGTGAGATTAGAGATTGTCTTCCTACTTTTTTAATTGTTTTATAAGCTGTGTAATGTCTAGGCTCCAAGCACTCTTAAGGACCTCTTTAATGGATTCACACAATTATGTCCCATTTTACATAAATATAATTATTTAAATTATTTCACTCCTTCAATAGCTATTTTAAGTGGTAACATGAGTTGGGGAGGGTAGTCAATGTTGAGGTTTATAAATTTTTACGATATGGAATTGACAACAATTGTAAACCTACCTTCAAAGTGAAGAACCCCGCCAACCTGGTCGATAGAGCCTTTCATTTTGCCCTCTGAGATCATCTGGGATGCAACATTCACTGCTCTGGCCGGGGGTACCTCTAACAATTCACCAAGCTCCTCAAACTTAATGCTTTTGTAGAGCTTACTGACACACTGCAGGTTGTGTTCTACCACCCCTTTGTTCTCAATTGAGGGTCCTAGAAACAATCAGGGCCTTAAAAACTTGAGCAATACATTTAGAGCTTTACACAAATAATGCCTTTATTACCGTACTGAATAGTTAATGTGCTGATGCTCAATACCAAGATGACTTGGAAATGAAACTATTTCCTAATGATTTCTAGAAGTTGGAAAGTGAGTGACGAAAAATCTACATCAAAGTGACGGCTCTGAGAACCTGAACAGAGTCATGATAGAGAAGGAACAACTTGAACATGGTACACAGATTCCACAAGGTGGTGTAAGATAAGGTGGCTAATACCAGAAGGTGATCAGAAATAAGCAAAGATAGAAGGGAGTTGGAGAGTCAATCTTCATGAACCCTCAGGGTGGTTAGGCCTATAGGCATACCCCCTAATAAGATATGCTAATAAGAAATATTAGCAAGATTTTTCCTTTCCTCATAAAATGATTTACATTAATAAAAAATATAGGAAACCTTTATCACATTCACACCTGTGGCCCTAGTTTTGAAATGGACGATTGTTGAGTCAATCGTCAATAACTCAACCAACAACAGGATTTGGTATTTTTGAAATCCAACAGTTGAGAAGTGAGTTGGTAATCACTAGTTGAGTGACTCGTTTGGAAATGTAAGCGGCAACATCGCACGAAATACAGATGACATCATTTTGAACCAATCACAGTGCAGAGCGACTTGCAATCTTCGATTTAACCTCTCAATCTAAATTGTGAATGCATTTCTCAGCTAATCTCAATCTGCAATATTTCGAGAAACCGAGGTAAACTGATGTCAGCTCTTTATCTTTATCTTATAATAAGTTCAATTAATTTGTAGGCCTAGTCTATTTCAAAGTATTGCAAACATATAAGGATAAAACCCCTTGATTTGATAGTCTAGTATTGACACAGTACCTAAATAAAATAAAAATGCAATTACAGAAAACAATTGCATAAAGTATTGGTTGCTACGACATTGACAACAAATACATAACCTCTAGTTGCAAATCGCAATTAGTAAATTAAATCAATAACAATGGCGTTGACTCAAAAAGAGCATTTTTTTCCAAAAGAGGAAGAAGAAAGTGCAGTCAACCGTCCACTAGACAGCTCGATGGTAGCTCGATTGGTGGTGAGTAGTTTTGGTTGGATAAGTAATCGTTTGAAAAATACAAAACGATAGGAAAGTGAGTGACTCAACAGTCAACCATTTCAAAAATAGGGCCCCAGATTAGAGTTGGATATCGCCCTTAATGTTAACAGAAATACAGTTCTGTGTGTAATCAGTGGCAGCTGGGTAAACTTGACTCTGGGACAAAGTCTTTTACATAATTGTCAAATGTATTCAATTGATGGATTTTAATAAGAAGAGATGTATTTTTACTTCAATCTACTCTCGAAAGAAGTTCAATTTTCTCAGGTAAGCTAGCTGAACTCTATTAATTTTCAAATAATCCATATCTCTATCTATATTTCAAATAACCATATATCTAAGCAAGTGTAACTCAACAATAACAAAAATACTATTACTGTTAGCAGTAGGCCTACCTAAAAATGTGCTGCAACCTGAAAGTAAGCTTAACACTACTGTTTAAAACGTAATTAATATGCAGCTCTATGGTTACTCGGAGAGAATTGGTCTCCTTACAGCTGACCAAATTAGCTTTAGGGAAAAATTAAGCACTTTTGATGCCATTTAGCACTTAATATCTGTTGTCATGAGTAGTTTTGAAGCCAGGGCATCACTGCAGTCAAATTGTGCGATCTCTCATATCCTTTTGACTCCAGTTAGTTCCGTCGTGTCCGCCGTGCTACCTGCGTCAGTGTGTCTCTTATAAAAATGTAGCCGGCTACTTTCATTAAATGTGCTTAGTGTCGAAAATATGTGAACTTTATGTATCGACATGTGTTTGTACCTCATAACGAAGACTTCTGTCGGATTTTTGGACCAATCAATTTGATGAAAATGGGTTTGAAAATGGGTCATTTCTGACCCGAAACTAGTCACCCTTTGACTATACAGTATTAGGACTGGAGACGGAATAAAAAAGGTACGTAACCTATCGTATCATAAGCCTGAAAACACTACCAAAAAAGCCGTTCCAGCAGAGAATCAAATCGTTCTTATTAGACAACTCCTGCTATCCTGTGCAAAATATTTTTAGCATTGTAAAAACTTATAATAAGTTTACAGTAACTTGTTAATACTTTTGTCTTGACTTGACCCATTGTCTTAATGTGTTTAATGGCTGAATGAATTATTTGATTATGTAAGAGCTTTTGATTAACCAGAACTTTGCAGTAGACTGGATCAAATTTGTGGCCAAGGCGTTCGTTTTGGCAAGAAGAGAGCACAATGCATAATGGGTGGTTCAAATCAATATCGTTCAGGTCTTGTGTGCAATTCATAAGGATTAACCTGTCTGTAGCAGGGCTTCAGAGAAACCCAGCTATAGAGTAAAAACTAGACGCTATAATTATTGTAACAGCTTACTTTCCCTCCAAATTCAAGTTTGACGACAGACGATACTAACCATCACCAGCTGGATTCCCTTGTAGATTAAGTGAAGCTTCGAACGCCTCAAGCTCTGACCGTTTGATGATCCTGCCTTCTATAATCTTCTCCGTGAGGATTACCACTGGCGGCTCTTGCTCATCCATGAATACAGCTGCACTGCTAACCTGCAGGTAACAGCATCAACATTACAGACATTGTTCAACATGTTACCGCAGGAATCTGTTTTCACTTGAATTCAGATTCTTGGAATGAAAATTACTTTTAAGTTTTTACTAAAATGATTCCAAACATCTGCACTCATTTGACTGACAAACGTCAATTCACCATCACTAACAATTAACTTGAAACAAAAGCAAAAGTTTCAATCAGACTATTCCATAATGCAAAATTGGTTTTTAAGATTCCCTTGCACATTTATTTTCTTCACTTTTAAAGTCCTCTAGCCAAATATACTGTTAGCACAAGGAAGTTAAGACGTTCAAACACTTCCCACAAAGATTAAGATTATTTTAAATCTTTAAGTAAGAGGAGTTCCAGTGCTTTAGGTAAAGTGATCGAGGCCGAGGATTGTATTTCCTATTTTGGAAGGACGAGCAGGCTTTAATTTTGTTCAGGATGAGCTTCACTCAATACTTGGACAGATGCAGATAAGTAAAACAAATAAATGTTGAAGGAAAAAAACTTGAAAAAATATCTTCCTGAGATGGGTCTCAAACCTGTTACCTTCATTTATGAAATTCTTACATTACCTCTGAGCTTGCTGTGATTGTTGATATTTTAAGATTTCAAGTGGTCAAAGAGGTGCCGACAGTTGCAAAGGTCGCAATACTTAAAATATTTTTTTATACCGTACTATGATTCTCTGTTATGCATCAAGTTGAATTGTTTTTCTATGAGTTGGAGAGGATACCAGTATATTTGAATATAGATGAATTAATTACCATTAGTAATGTTATTGTAATTAATTAATATTTCCCTTTAAATTGTTCAACTATTAAAAATTTGCTCAAATAAGTAAATGAATTTTAATTAAAAAATTATTTGCATTATTATATGTTAAACAGGTGTTCTGCCACTGTATCTAGTATCACGACTATCACAACATCATCTGACTACATTTGTTATGGATCCAATTTTCTCCAAAATCGTCTTATGTTCTACTGCTATATCATTTATTTTCTTATTAAATAAGTCAATTATTATTAAAATGTTTTTTAGAATGTTTTATACTTAAATCCAACAAAGGCCCAACGATTCTTTCCTTTGTAGGGCTAACGAATACAAGTTCCTGTTGGGCCAACGTTGGCAAGGCGTTAGAAATTTCCGACCACCATTTCCCAACTTTGGTTAAACAATTTGTGCTCCTTGGGTAGTGGCGAAGGATTCAGTTGTGTTAACATAATAAGTTGGTAATAACTCAAAGGTTGTACATTTTAAAAGTGGCTAAATAGAGAGGAGATATATCTTATTTCCCCAAATGCGGCATTGTATTCTACTAATATAGACCTTTAATTTGATGTGCATCAGTGTTTCCATTCGCGGGATTATTATCCCGAAAACGGGATTTTTAGACCTTGAGCCGGATTAAAACGGGATGCGGGATAAAACGGGATTTTCGGCTGTGACGACTATTTTAATTTTTTTTCTACTCAATTTTAGAGAAAAACTAACTCAAATTGTTTAAATACTGTAGCAAAATATAATAGTGATGTTTAAACAACTTATAAAAATGATACGTAAAGTTTAATGCTAGGAATTGTACAAAAAAAATCATGCGGGATAAAACGGGATTTTTCAACGATTTAAAAGCGGGATAAAACGGGATTTTTCGACCCAGTAAGCGGGATTATTTTTTTGGTCGTGTGGAAACACTGATGTGCATATTGACTTATGCTTACGTTTATAATTTTCTTCCAACTTCTGGCAGGTGCCACTATGAGGAGGTAGCGTATAATGGCATTGCATTGCAAATTAAATCAATCTTTGAACATCTGTCATTTTTGACTCAGCTGTCTGTTGGCGTTTGGGTTTGGGGCACTGTATTTAACTTTTATTTTTATTTTATGTGCATACCAACCTATGCTTCTCGGACTGAGCGATGATGACGCCGTAGAGCTCATCAGATCCCAGTACATGACTCAATGAAAGTCGATAACAATTCCAAAACCATTTCAGTACCGGTACTGGCACCCTCATTCAAGTATTCTTAGTTTATTATACAGGGTATTTTTAAAAGAATGCCGGGATTGTAAATGTTAATTGCATGGATACTATTCAAGGTAACTAAACGTTTTATATGTCATATTGAAGCTAAAGTAATTAAGTTTTGTTTTCTGTATAGCAAGGGAGGAAACTTTAAACCTTGGTAAGCGTAAAACAGGTGCGGGGCGATAGGCCGCTATTGTGGCCGCCAGTCGCTAGTACAACGTTTACGGCGCAACAGAAGGCACAGATTGTAATCTGTAGTTTGCAGAGCTTATATCCATTGCTAAATTAAACAAACTATATTGAAATCTACTTGATGATGAAGAAACTTTAAGCTGGTTTAATGCATTTCGTGGCACCGAAGTGTTTTGAAAAGACATTCACCTGGCCGGCTAAAAACAAGCAATGACATAGTCGGAGAATTCCGACAATTCTGCGCCAGAAGCCCGAAAAAATTGATTGTACGACAAAGTCTTCAGTTGAACAAACCTAAATTGGCCACTTTATGATGTTATCTATAAAAGTAGAGTCTTTGTGCCGAAAAAGATTCAGTTAAGACATCAGATAAACCCGCCGATCGCCCTAAGAGGACAGACTTTGCCAGTTTTACGCTCATATAAGATTGATGAAAATCTGAACTTTATTAAATCATTCTGAATTGTATGAAAGAATGAAAAAACTTTACTCTTTTCCCTTCAATTTGACGTTTAAATATCTTGAATAGTCCCCGAGCAACGACCGTTTGAAATCCCGGCATTCTTTTAAAAACACCCTGTATTATAGACTTGTTCAACTCATTCTACAGTAATTGTTCATGTTCAATTTAGTCTTTTCTTACCAACGATATGGCAAAAAAATTTAACGTCTTTTTATTTTAATTATTTTTTTATCTTGTTACTTTGTCCGTGAAGTGGTGAGCGACAAAGAAGACTCTTCCCACAGGCAGATGTACAGTCATTGTGGGGGTTTTCCCCTTTGTACATTTGTTTTAAGCCACGATTGTAATCTCTGATTTGTAATTTTGGAAATAAATACATTCTTATCCCTTATCTTTTCTTCTGACTCCTAGGGGCCATCCCAATAGGTAGTGTATCGTTGATTGAATGTCTTAAAATGATTTTAATGCCCAGTAACTGTGTACCAAGTTTTTAAGCACAATCTTTAATACTTTTTGAATTATTTAACTGTCCCGGGACTTTTTTCACCTTGTTTTCACGTATTCTACTTTATAATTTTGTAAATTAAATAAACTTATTATTACCTGGGGGCCTGCTTCATAACAAACTACAAACTAATATTATTAGTAAATCAGCTGATCTCTTATGTAAATCTAATGGAAATCACAAGTTACAACTTAAATCAGTTAATGAGTTGTTAATAATTGAAATAATTTGATCTCTTTTTCGTATAGGTTTATTCATTGTTCGCAGTGAGAGATATGTTATATAAAGGGTTGTGATATGTTTTTTTGGAGCCGCCACTGACTATTGATTGGTACATAGATGTTAGATCAATTGGCTGTTGTCGAAGTTTAGTTTAAACGTATGCCATAAATCCTTGGCCTGGTCATAAACAAAACTAATGGTAGCCTACTCAGGCTCGGACTTAAGACTTCAGGGGCCCCGGGCAAAATGGTTAATGGGGCCCCCACTATGAACATATGTTTACACAATAAAATGTGTCTTACATGTACACTGATTTTAATTAAGCAATTTAAGTGTGAAATAATATTTAAACCTATTTTAGAGTATCAGTATATGCTGCATTTTGTGAAGTAATTTTATACATAAAATATTCTAAGTGTCAAAATATTAATTACAATGTAAGATTTTATAATTTGTAGTAAATGTGTTTATAAAAATTAGATATACCACATAAGTAGGTATCTTACAAATTCTTTTGCAATACTAAAGTGAAAATTTAAATAAAATAATAGCATCATAATGTATTATTTTAAATTTATTTTTCACCATAATCCATACTTGATTTTGGGCTTGAATGAAAACACACGTGAAAAAACATTAAGGTCCAGTAGGGGTAAATAAGAGCAGAATACACTGTAAAAGCTTAACTTTATTCTATAACTATCTACTATAATTTTACGAACAAACCTGACTGAATTCATGTTTATAACATATAAGCTTTGACCCTAGTCAATGATATGAGTTAAAACAAGTCTACTTTTTATATTAATGTCTATAACATAGTTATTTTTTTCTCTATAAACATCACTTGCCACCGTGATATGTTTTTCTAGCAATTAAAAGATCTTTTTCAGGGCGTCCAGCGTCCAACCAAAATAAAATTCAAAGCAATTCCAGGCTCAAAATTCAAATCTTCCAGGACAAAAGTTGCCGCTCAAAATAAGACTAACATACTTCTTTACATCTGCTAGTACATTAAAAACCCTTCGGCGAATTCTATGTCGATTTCTTGCGATCGCAGCCACATCGGTTATCATATCTTTCAATCGCGGCAACATTTTTGATAATATTCCACAAGTGTGGCAACATCCCTAACGATTTCTCATGATCGCAGCAACAACTGTTAGGATTTCTCGCGATGTCGAAGGTAAAGCATGAAATCTTTACATACATCCTCATATATTAACATTTCCGCAAAATCTGTGAGGATTTCCCACAATTGTGGCAACACATTTGAGGATTTCCCTTGATTGTGTCAATATCCATTATCATTATTTATTGATTATTGATTTCCCGGGATCGCAGCCACATCCATGTTGATTTCCCGCGATCACAGATATGATGTCTTCTGATAGCGGCAATATCCAGTTTTCTTCCAAGCAATCATGTGAACCCCTTTGATTATTTCATATAACTGCGGCAATAACTGTTATAGAATATTGCAACCATTACAATACCTGTGATAGATCATCCGCGATCGTCTTCAGTGATTTTTTCAACTCTTGTGACTATTTTTTCCGATATTGGCGAGATTCATAATGATTTCCTGTGATCACGGTAATAGCCATAATCATTACTTGCGATCATGGAAATGCCAGAATTGCAGCAACATCGACTATAATCTCCTGCGGTTATCTCAAAATCTGCGACTATTTTTTGCGATTGCGGCCATCTCTGATCACGGTCAGGTTTCAACTGAGGTAAAATTCGTTATGATCTTGCGATCCCAGCAACGTCCGGTAAATGTTATAGTTTCCCACGATCGCAATTTTCAACCACGCAAAACGAGATAAACTTAGGCCATTCCATTCGGTAAGAGTCTAATTAATTTTTTAAATTATTGAGAAAAACTACTGTGTCACTCTCAGGGCCCTGGGCACTCGCCCTGTCCACCCCTAGTTAAGTTCGGCCTTGAGTCTACTGAATAAAATTAGTAATACCTATATTGTTGATGACTACTATGTCATTAAACATTAATCATCTACAAAACAAGAAACTTTTGTAGATAGTAGTCAGAGCACAAAGTGATACAAAAGCAATCTCTGCTTCTGCTAGCTTATGTTCTACAGAACACCCTCCACTCTAAATAGTAATTAACCGTTTTGTAAAAATCTGTGATCAAATTTGATGAGCATAAAATATGAATCAAAGCATATGTTTGAATCCTAACAAATGATTGAGAATGTGACGGTTGTGGTGGTCCGGATGGGCTTGGAAACAGAAAGGCTAATTAATGGAAAGCTCATCTATTATTTCTTAAGTTAATTTTTCCACATCCATAGTAACATTTCATGTACGCAAACCAATAACTAAATGTGCTATTGGGCATGCCCCAATCGAGTTCTCCCCGCTTACAGCTAACAAACAATCAACTTGGCCGCTACTGTAGCAGAGTCATAGCTTACTGCTACCACACCGACTACCTGCAAGGTACCACTGTACTGTGTACGTACCCGTACCAACGTACACAACAACAAAAGAGTAAGCAACCCGCTACCTACCCTGCTGTACTGAGTTGTCAATTATTATTAAATAAACTTATTATTACTAGTATGTCCAGCCAATCACAATATCAAACTGAAAATACCCCCGCCACAGCAAACCTGCAGACTAAGCGAATTTCAATTTCTCTAATTAGATTCATACTAAAATATTACCATAAACAACACATATTTATCTCACATTTAAATAACATAAGATTTAACGAGTACTTAACTTAAGTTAAGTTAGGTTTGCTGCTACGGGGAAGGTATATAAAATGTTTTTCAACTAAATTTTAAAGAATAAGGTGAAATGAATAGATTTGCCAAATTTAATCAACATGTATCCATAAACAAGCAAACTACCACAGTTTACTTAATTTCCTTAACCTTTTCGATGCTAGAATAAGTTATGTTTTTGTAATTTTCCAAAAAGTGCTAGAGATTTTACTTATTTCGTCCAAAAAGTGCTAGGCTTGCCACGGGGGTCTAGTGCGCGAGAAAAAAATCGGTAAAAATACAATTTTTCATCTCAAAAGTGCTAAGGAACGATGTATTAGGCCTCGATCGTATGAGGAATCGAAAGAAACCATTGATGTTTTGAAACTACAACCGAGTCAACCGATATGCTCATTTTAACTCACATGATCGAAAGTCACGCCGGCACAATATACCGTTGCTTAGTTCTTTTTGGATGAAACGCGAACAACGATATATCGTTGCATAGCACTGAAAGGGTTGAGAATAACATGGGAATTATAACTTAAGTTTATAATTTTTAGAATTGTCTCTGTGGGTCTAATCAACAAAAGCACAAAAACACTTCAATGTAGGCCTACAAAATTATTTGTTTTTTTATGATCTTTAAAATGGTTTAGAGAGAATTGTGGAAATTTTATGTTTTGAGGGTCAAAAATGGGAAAAACCAATTTCCACCCCATTAAGTTTAAACCCTATTCCCATGGTCCGATCATGCTGGTTCGCGAACTCCTTCATGTTTATCCCGCCCTGCACCTTCAACCTAAATTTCATGAAATCGCACCAAAATTACTCGAATTATTGCAGACTGTATATATAAACTTAGGTCTATATATGGTAGGCCTACATCTAATAAATTCAAACGAATAGTGTTTTTAGCCTTTGGGGACACAAAAATGAGAAAAATAAATTGGTCCAGGGCCTAGGTTTTACTGTGCCACCTACAATAATAGCTACTTCCCTAGAGAGAAATTCGCTAAAACCTACGAGAAATTTTAAAGACCGAACAACTAAAAATCAAGTAACTTTTAGTAACTTAGACAACATAGGCCCAAAATGTTGTGTAGGACCTGGAAACAGGGCCGTCCGAAGGGGGGAGGGGGCAACCGGGGCAAGCTTTGTAGTAACATATAGTGTTAAAATATGCGAATGCGACTTTTATTGGGGGGGAGGGGGCGCCACGACCACATTTGCTCTGGGCGCCGCTAACCCTAGGGACGGCCCTGTCGGGAAATTTTAATTTTGAAAGAATCACTGGCAATAGCTTATGACTAAGTTGCCTAGTGTCCATTCCTTACCGAGAGGAGAAAACCACTATTGCAGGAAATGAAAACTACGTTGCCGGTGTGGATGTTCGAATGATCACTATTCTAAAGTTGGTTGTAGATCACCCCCCTGGAGCCACCACTAACCATTGGTTGGTACTTAGATCTTAGATCAATTGGCTGTTGGAGACAGGCCTAGTTGAAACTTAGGCCTAGGCCTAAGCCATAAATCTTTGGCCTTAAAAAGTCATGGAAAAGCTAACTTAATGATAGCCTACCATAGGCCTATGAGATTAGGCTATGCTATATTGTTGATAAACTTGTCAGTAATAATAGGCCTACAAATAATTATTACTATCGAGTTTCTTCCGTGCAAATAAATATGTCTCTTTTCCTTAGCCAGCCTAATGGTAAAGGCTGCATTGGCTAAACCTAGGCCTACTGTATGCACTACTAGAACAAAGTATTCTAGGTATACACATTTTAAGTTAACTAATTATGCTACAGTAAAGAATATGATTGAATTTAATTACTGATGAATGAAATATTAAGCGTAGTATTTTACCTTATCAAGAAGATTTAGATTTGTCAAGACACTTATAGGTGTCGTCAGGTGAACCGAACAGTTTACACTACTCCAAACCAAATTCAAACAGGAAAGTGGCGCCGATGAGCCTTTTAGGAATTTATTTTGGGCTCATGAAAAGTAGTTCCTGCGTTTTTTCAGCGTTCCTATCGAATTTAATAGGGATTTTTGGTACAATGTTTTATTCCAATAATTAAAATAATTTATAAACGGTATAGTTCTAGCTCCCAAACAGCGAAACACAAATATAAAAAAGTTATTGCAATTGCTTCATCGGTATATTAAAATTATATTACACCGCACCGGCGGATTAACACTTTCCTATTCCTTGGGAATTGGACTGTTTAGTGTTTAGTCCACGGCCACGGCCACCTTTAACATAAAAGTTTAGAGTTAAAGGTGGTCGTGTTACACTATATACAGTACATCGTTGGCCGCGGCCTAGCCCCAAGTCAAAATTTTATTCGATCGTTACACACAGAGCCGCAGCTATACAATTTTCTAGGAGGGGCAAGTCCTAAATTTGCCGCCCCTTCACCACTCAACTGTGGAATTTTTATAAGTGCCAATGGCATTTTCCAGTCAATCTAAACACGAAGCACGCCAGCTTTTAAAAGGAAATGGCCCAAACATTAGACGATATTTTTGTATAAAGTTATTGAAAATGAATTATTATTAAAATTGGTTTATTGTTATGAAACCCTTAAACCTAAGTACAATTAAAAAAAAACAAATAAGTCTAATTCTTTAATATTTTTTTATTTAATTGCAGGACATACAACAACCATATATCCATACATAAAGTCCCTCATGAGTTTAAAAGTTGTTACAATTGTATTTTCTTGATTAAAAAAAAAACTCACAACTATGCCAGAAAATTAAACTTTTTACACTTTTTTCATGTTTAATTGAGATGCTACTTGCTAATAAATGTTCAGGCTTTGATCGTCTTATCTAATGACCAGGGGCGATTCCAGCCGCCAGGGGTCGCGTGGATGCCCCTTTTTGGCAAAATATAATTGTCTGCAATCGTGGCAAAACTGAAAACATCTCCCGCTATCATGTTGACATGATTGACGTCACTCACACTCACTATCGCGGTAAAATCGTTATCGTCATCTGCGAACGCGGAAAATCCTAAACCTCTCACATTACTTGCTAGCGTAACGAAATAATTAGTTTTAGAAAACATTTTGTTGTTTCCAAAAAGTAGTTTTTCTACAAAACACTTTGGCTCCCTTTCTTTTGTGGCCCTAAAGTCGCAGCCTAGTGGTAGTCTGGCACAACGATGTACAGAACTACTGGATTGCCACTCACTAGCAGTGCGGGTGCTGTTTTCGGTCTAGCTCCCCCGCTCCCGACTGGAAGAAGCCGTCGCAGCCCATACGCTCACTAATTATAAAACGCACCTTTTTAGTTGGTGCTTTCATGGGAGTTCATCCTAACGGGCAAGAGGGTACTTAAGCCCCCCCCTCCCTTTGAGACCCTGCCAGGGTGATCATAGAGACTGAGAATTTTCCGGGAAGTTTGCGTAAATTTATTAAACGAGGAACTATGAAGGATTTTTTAACTTGCACTGGGAAACCTGCTTTAATCTGCAGCCACTGTGAAATTGTGATCGTCATCAGTGGACACGGAAAATCGAAAAAAAACATTCCGAGGTCGTGGCAAAATCAAGAAAGTCTTCCACGGTCATGGCAAGATCGAGAACATCTTCCGCGGTCACGGAAAGATCTAAAACGTCTTCCGCGGTTACGGCCGTATTGAGAACTTATGCGGCCACGAAAAAGTAGATGGCATCTTCCGGTGACACGGTGAAATCCCGTAACGTCTTCCGCGGTACGGAAAAATTGAGAATACCTTCAGTAGTCACGGCAAGATCGAGAACATATTCCGTAGTCATGGCATAATTGAGAACATCTTCAGTATTCACGGCGAAAATGGGGAGCGGCTGGTCCAGTGGTTAGATTGCGAGACTTCGGTTCCAGAGGTCCCGGGTTCAAATCCCGCTAAATCGCCAATGGATTTTATCTATATGATAATGCTCCAACCCTCTAGGTCTAGCCTGAAGTAACGTGAAAAACAATTCCGGGCTCCTGCCTAGCATCCTAGGACAAAAAGTTCTCGGCGAAACCATGAGTATCCTCCGAGGCTTAAAAAATTTTTGGCCATCTTCCGTGGTTGCGTGACATCAATGTCTCCCACGATCACGGTAAAATCGACAATTTTCGAGCACGCATCTTCGTCCCCGCTATTATCTGTCCCCACGGAACTGTCGTGCCAGCCGTTGCTCCAACTAGACCCGAAAATATGGCGTTCCCGGACCCCTAGTTTAAGGTACATCTGGTAACTAGGAATCAAGGCCGGTAAAACCAGGGGTTTCTGTTGGAAAATCTGGAAAAAGTTGTGAATTTTAATTAAGTGTTCTGCCCCAAACAACCGATCTTTTCCTGATTGTGTAGTAAAACTTAACAGTTAAACGATTCGCATGCCAGGGGCCACAGTAGTGGCGGCTAGCCTATAAGGACTCGCGGATGCCACCCTCCCAACAATACTTAGGGCATATACATTTAATTTTATTATTCTGTGGTTAAATTTCATTAATATTACTCTAACGAGTAACTACTTAAAACAGTACAAAATTTTAAAAAAATCAGATAATTTATTTCGTTAATGACTTATTTTTATCGTTGGGTGCTTGCAAGTAAGGAAGGACGGCGGCCAGACCATCCCCCGTTCCAATTCCAAATTTCCAATACATGTAGTCTCATGTATGACAGAACACCAGAACACCCGAACAGTGCTGAGAGTGCCATGACGTCATTTGGGTCATTCCAATGCCTAGTTGCGCGCGCATATTTATCAGGACAACCACCACAATCTGGATATTCTGCAATCTGCATGACACGCTCCTGTTATGATGCTCCTATCAGTTCTATTGGTGCACCTGATTTTCATAAATCGTAAATAAAACCATCTGATTTTCAAAACCTGAAAACAAAAACAATTGACTATGACTAGTGACTGAACTAAACTAACCTCGATAACAATGTTTCGTTTGCTTTGTTTAATGTTTTGTTGTTCTGTTTGATTTAGTGAAAAGTGATGTTGGCATACCGTTCGTGGTATGAGTAATACTAACACTGTTTACTTTAATTACATTTCACATCCTGTTCCATTAAAGGTATGCCCTACATATCTGGTTAATTAATATTAAGCTCATTAAGTACTATAGGTTTTTAGGTTAAGTATCGGTACAGCCAATGTTCCCAAGTGTATGGCTAGCTTATTTGGGGTTCTAGTCCTTATTTTATTGAAAATTATCATTTTGTTTGTAATACTTTCATTACATACCTACATACCATTATCATTAGCTGAAATTTTAAGGTTAATACAAAGCAGCCTTGAAAACAAGTTTAAATAAAGAAATTAGTTATGTAGGCCTATGTTTGAGTGTATTGAAATTCATCTTTGAAATTCCGTTCTTTTCTTAGACAAACGTGTATTATTGTAGGCTTTTGTTTATAGGCCTATATTCAAATATTACAGAATATTTCCATCACCTATGATCACGGGGAGCTTCTTGGGCCACATTAGTAGGTATTGATATTTTTAACGACATAACAACATAATACAACGACATAATATAAATTGACAAAGCAATTTCAGGTTTAAAAAGTGTAAAAGCATAAGTTACCGGTACATTTTAACTTAGAACATCATTTTTCTCATGTACCGTACATAAGAGCAAAGTAAGAGTAACTCTTAAGACAAAATTTTTAATGGTGCCCCCAAACCCCCTGCTCACTCCTATTGAAATTTCAGAAGGACGCCCATATCACTGCTCTAGTAAAATATATAGAGAGAGATAAAATATTGCTAAACTTAAAGCATGTCAAACTCTTTTTACTAACTTATTCCAAACTTTATGTCTGTTTGGTTTCTTGCAGAAAATAACACATAAGTTGTATGAACTCTTTAAACTACACATTCACTACATTTTAGTTTAAATGTTTTTAGACAACTGATATTGCTAATGTAGTTCGGTTCCAAATTATACATGGCAAAATAATGAGTGTAATGGTACAAAAAGGGTAGAAAATACAATAGTTGTAATGTCGAACTCATCATTAAACGAAAACATATTACACATAAACATTTCTGAATAGAATAATTTTGTTCAGCTTTTGCCGCAAATCTAACTTATGTTTAAGAATTTTTGACCCTAATAACTTAAAATTTCCCAATTTTTCTTCAAAAACCATTTTAAAGAGCTTAAAAACATTAATTTAGTATATTGAAGTGATTTTTACGATTAATGTTTACCATACAGAGAAAGTTCAAACAATTAAGTTATACATTTTTAATTTCCATTTTTATTCTTATTGAGAATAAGTAGACTGTTGCAGTTTGCTTGTTCATTATATTTCGACCAAACCTGGTATTTTTTTTTATTTTATACTAAGCTATTAGGTAATATTTTACTAAAAACAACAATTACCCAATTTCCATGTAGCAGCAAACTTGGAAACATAGCCTAAATAGATTAAATTTAAAATTCAAATGATGAATGAATCTGACAAGTCTAAGGAAATATTTTGTAAAAATCCAATGAGATAAATGAACATTCACTTAGTCTGCAGGTTTGCTGCAGCAGGGATATTTTTTATAATGAAAACACGAAGAATTTCTCAAATCGTGTAAATATTTGAGCATTACTACATTTTTTTTATCAGGAAGCTATCTTTTTGGAGAGTTTCTTATTCGTTAAGACTTACTGTGCCAGTGGCTAATGCAATAATCATTTTTGAAGAGCCTTAATTATCCACGACCTGGATTAATTATCTTACTCCATCTTTTTTTTCTAATTTGACGATTTAATTCAACCTTCAAGCATAGTAATAAACTATACACCTACCTTCTTGACATGATAGCGTATCATGTTTGAGATTATTAAGAGTTTCTGATTGTTTGTAAAGGGGTGTTTCAACGTATTCATGTCTACCTTGAACATATCCTATCCCAATATTGGTTAAATGTTAAAATTATCAACTATTTATATATTTTAATTTAAACTTCTTGTCACCATAGGCGTTCCATTC